CTGTAGTTTGACCACGCATTCTACTTTAGTGACATCAACATATTCTTGAAATATATTGTATTTAACAGATACAGAGATATTAGATATTTATCTTTACGACTATCTTTAAGTTTAGCATTATATGAACATATTTCATTTAGTATACAATCATTCCTAAGAATTTTTCCAAATCTTATTTCTTCACTCGATTTACTCTCTTCATACTGATATTTTGGAACAAATATTTCATTAGATATTAACTCATATAGTTCTTCTTCTTGATCTTCTAGATATTTTTCAAATAAAGTTTTTCGAAACCCCCATGAACTTTGTATGAAAATCTTTTTCTTCGTTTAATTGTTCTTTTAATTTGTTTAACTTTTTAAAGAAACATCTTTAATAAAATCTGTTTATCTGTTATATAATTCGATGTCTGCTTTAATTTTAAAGGCAAATGGAGCTATCTGGAGCTGGTGTTTTTACAAGGAGCTGAGTAAGAGCTGGAGCTTAAATATTTCTAGTTGGAGCTGGCTTTAGAGTCAGCTTTGAGCTAGCTCTTCTCTTTGATAATTTAATATTTGTCAGGTCAGGAGTATGGTCTTCATGATCATCCTGCTACTGATAACATGTAACCCAGTGCAACCTGTTCCATGTTCTGCTGCCTTGCAGGATTTGCTTTCTAAGTAAAGGCTGGGAGGAGTGTGCTTCCTGTCATCAGTACTATCTTATATCAGTCATGGCTATAGTAAATTTTTTTTTTTTTTTTTTATATAGTTGGAGGTGCCTTAGTTACTGTATTAGCTCACCTGTAATCTACTTTATATGTAATTTATTTGTGTTCTGTCTGAACCTCTGATGCGGTGTTCGCTCACCTGTAAGTTTCTTTATGTTTTTTATGTATGTTTGTGTTCTGTCTGAACCTCTGGCGCGGTGTTCGCTCACCTGTAAGTTACTTTATGTTTTTTATGTATGTTTGTGTTCTGTCTGAACCTCTGGCGCGGTGTTGACTCACCCGTAAGTTGATTTATATTTATGTTTGTTTGTGTTCTGTTTATTCTCTGATGCAGCGTGAGCTCAGTAACTAGCTACTTACTCCAACTACAAAACCCACACTCACCTTAGACTGTATTTTGTTAGATGCAGTGTTTTTCCTAATGCACTTCCAAAATGCCTGGTTTTCTCAAAGTACTGTTGCGGGAAGTAACTCCTTTTAACTACTCCAGGCCAGGTCAGGATAATCAAGATCAATCTTGCTACTGATATCATGTACCACCTGCCACAACCACCCAGTACCACCTGCCACAAAACTCCGATTAAAAATTCCCCTGTCTTGGGGCTCTTGGTTGAGTAAAGGCTAGAGATGGTGTCTCGATAAAAATACTCATCTTGGGCAGATGTTAACTGCATCCAGCTACTGTCTTGTAGAAGCCTCCTAGGAAAAGACTTTAGGGGTAAGCAGAAAAATTCTGCTAACCAGCCTTGAAACCTTTCTTCATCTATTAGGCTGGCGTAGATGTAACCTGTGTTACATTGTTTCCTGCCTAGGATGATGAATGCTGGATCTCCCTGATTCTACTCATAGAATTTTGCTTATGCCTCCTTGATAATTGCTATGCAACTCTTCTTGTTATCTCCATATGAGGGTACAGCTCTAAAACTCAGTTTAATGGTTCTGAGGCCGGCTGGTAGTAAGGTTTCTCGAACTCTGTGGTAGCTCTCAGAGAGGCTGATTCCATCAACAACTGCAAAATATCAGAGTACTAACAGTGCCATGTTGCGCATAGATGGTTAATGCTTTTGGTGTGCATTGTCAAGGCCACATAAGGAGCCCTATGTCATGGCTTAGGGTTAATTAACAGGACAGAGACAACTGCACAGCTCATTGATTAGGAGGCTGTGCTCTATCTATAAATGAGTCAAGTTCTCATTAAACCCAAATCATGACCAAAGTAACCAAACATTTTAAACCTAAAAAACCATCCCCACCACATAAATGTTTTAATATAGCTTTTACAAATATTCGTGGTCTGCGAAGCAACTTTTCGTCAGTTGAGTCTTACCTCCTGCAAAATTCACCACTCAGTTGTTGCACTCAGTGAAACAAATTTAAATTCTGCAATTCCTTCTTCAGATGTCAGTGTTGATGGGTACTATTCTTTGATTCGTAAAGACTCCAATAGTCACATGCTAGGTTTAGGGGTATAAATATGCATTAATTCCCCCTTTTGTTGTGAAATCAGGTTCGAATCCTTTGACCATTCTTTTATGTGCTTTCGCCTAGCACCTCTTCACTCTATCACCTTTCTCTTTTTTTTTTCAGTTTCTCCCTTTTCTCCCTCAGGTGGTTCTGACCATGCAATGATCTCTATAAATCTTTCTTCTCGTACTTCTTTTTTGGGCTCACCTTATTATCACACCACCTACTACTACCCTAAAGCTGACTGGGATTCTTTTCGTGATTTTCTTCGTGATGGTCCTTGGGCTGATGTTTTTTCTCTCTCAGCTGATAAATGCGCCTCCTACGTAACCTCCTGGATTCAGGCTGGAATGGAAGCTTTTATTCCTTCTCATCGGTTTCAAGTCAAGCCTCATTCTACTCCATGGTTTTCTCCTTCTTGTGCAGCTGCGATTTCCAATCGTAATCATTTTTTTCAAAAAACAACTCTTTTGAGAACAAACGGCTATTTATTATTGATGTAAAAAAGTGCTTTCTAATGCTAAACTCCATTTTCACTAAATCACTAAATCTCGCATCTTATCACAGAAGTTAGGCTCTAAAGACTTTTGGAAAATTTTCAACAGCATTATTAACAAGGGTAGATCTAACATTCCATCTCTCATTCATGGGACTGATCTTATTATCTCTCCCAAGGACAAGGCAGAACTACTTGCAAAGAACTTTTCTTCTAATTCCACTTTTGAACCTTATGGACATTCTCTTCCTTCCATTCCAGTCAAACAGGTTGACCCATTGTTAGACATTCAAATCACTCCGGCTTCTGTTGCTAAAGTCATATCTCAATTAAACTCGTCTACAGCTTGTGGTCCAGACAACATTCCTGTCACAGTCTTGCAGAATTGTTCTCCAGGACTTTCTTCAATTCCCTCTAAACTATTTAACAAGTGTTTGACTGAGTCTTGTTTTCCTGCTTGTTGGAAAATGGCATCTGTGGTTCCAATATTCAAAAACTCTGGAGAAAATTCTGATGCCTCCAATTATCGTACAATCAGTCTTCTTTCTGTTATTAGCAAGGTCTTAGAGTCTTTTATCAACAAATTCCTCACATCTCATCTTGAGTCGAATAAACTGCTGTCAGACAATCAATACGGTTTTCAATCCTTTTGCTCTACGGCCGACTTGCTAACTGCTGTAACTGAAAGATTTTATCGTGCATTAGATGGAGGCGGTGAGGCAAGGGCTATTGCTCTCGACATATCTAAAGCTTTCGACAAAGTTTGGCATGTTGGTCTTCTCCATAAGCTTGCTTCATATGGTGTTTCTGGGAAAGTTTTTGAGGTTATCAAATCATTTTATTCTAACTGGTTTATTAAAGTCATCCTTGAAAGCCAACACTCTTCTTTATTTCCAGTAACTTCCGGGGTTCCCCAAGGTTCCATTCTGGGCCCTGTTTTGTTTCTTATCTACATAAACGATCTTCCTGACAACCTTTCATCTAAAGTAGCTCTTTTTGCTGATGACAACTTTATATTCATGTCTTGACAAAAAGTCTTCTCTTTTCGATTGCCTAGAACAAGCAGCTGATCTTGAATCCGATCTCACTTCAGTAATAGATTGGGGTTTACAGTGGCTTGTGAATTTCAACTCTAACAAAACCCAGTTGTTTACTGCAAACAACTACCGTAATATGGTCAACATTCCTATATTAATGAATGGGAATCCTCTTACTGAGTCCTCCTCTTTACGTCTTCTTGGATTATTGCTTAATACTGACCTTTCATGGAAACCATATATACAATCGATTGCTAAATTAGCTTCTGCTAAGGTTGCTTCTCTTTATCGTGCTCGCCATTTCCTTACTTCTGATTCCATTCTCTACCTCTACAAATCTCTTATTCGTCCCTGTATGGAGTACTGTTGTCATATTTGGGCTGGTTCTTGTAACGATTAACTTTCTCTTGTTGACAAGGTCCAAAAACGCACTGTAAATGTTGTTGGACCTGGACTATCTGCTAAGCTTGAGCCTCTTTCCCATCGTCGTAAAGTTGCATCTCTTTTTCTTTTCTACAAATACTATCATGGTCACTGCTCAAAGGAGTTATCATCTCTAGTTCCATCAACTAAAATTCATTCTTGTTTCACTCGTCATTCAGCTAAGTCTCATTCGTTTACTGTATCTGTCCCTGCATGCTCTAAAAACTTTTATTCATCTAGTTTTTTCCCCCGCACTTTAATCGTTTGGAACTCTCTCCCATCTTCATGTTTTCCTGACTCATACAACCTTCAACTTTTCAAGTTTTCTGTCAACTGTTTCCTTGCTCTATAATTCTGTTCTTTTTTTTCCTAGTAACTCCCAACTTAATAGTGGTTGCTTGCAGCCTTGTTGGGAGTGATTGCAAAAAAAAAAAAAAAAAAAATTTATTTTAAGATTGTTGATTTTAGAATTGGTATCTTGGATAGTATTGATCTCTATTATTTACACTAATTTTATTTTCTGTTATTTGTACACTAATTTGAATTCTCTTTTGTTTGTACACTAATTTTTATGATTTTTTTGATAAACAATGAACAAATTATTAGTTAAAAGCTTTGTTCAATCGAACAGATCCAGTTAAATGTCAAAGTGGAGAAGAGAAATATTTACAACACTTAAACACCATTTATATTTTATTATTAATATTATTAATAATAATTATTAATAACATTATTATGAATAATAATAGTTTTATTTTTTAATTATGATTGTTATCTATATCATTAATTTTTGCTTCAGTTTTTAAGTATGATTATTATTGTTTCATTTTTATTAACTATTACAAAGCTATTATAAACATTGTATTACCTGTAAATCAAAATGGACCTTTTCTTTATCTGTTATAGCACGACTGGCTGTTTTAATGTCAGATAATTTCTTTTTCTCACTGTTACATATAATATTTTTAAAAATTAAACTTTTTTTTATATTTATAGCAAGCACTAAAAAAAATATTTTGTTTATAAATTCATACAGCATGTATGTAATATTTTAACTAATATTTATAAATTCATACAGCATGCATGTTTTTAACTAATATTTATAAATTCATACAGCATGCATGCTTTTAACTAATATTTATAAATTCATACAGCATGCATGTTTTTAACTAATATTTATAAATTCATACAGCATGCATGTTTTTAACTAATACTTATAAATTCATACAGCATGCATGTTTTTAACTAATATTTAGGATTGGAATGCTGCATCAAACTAATATAAAAAAAGAAAATAGCAAAAAATAAAATAATTTTAAATAAAAAAAGATAATTTATTACTTGAGGATATTTTGAATATGGTTAAAAAACATTAAAGATAAAATAGATAATAGATAAAATTTTAAAAACCTCTCTGAAATTTTTGTTTGCAAATCATTAATATCTATCTCCAACTTTTGATTAGCAAGAACTAAAGTTCTCAAACTGTTTGTTTTTTGTGAAGCTTGCACATTTAATTGCTCCAGTTCAAGCTTAAAAAATTGTTCAAGATCTAAGTATTTTTGTTTGTTAAGAGTTTCTTCCTCTACCAATTCAGCGTGTTCAATCTTAAGCCTAGTGCTACTTTCTGCAGTCTGCTGTATCTAAAACAAAAGCAACTTTCTAACTGCTTGTTAAAGATCAACCAGATAAAAAGAAGACAATTTTAAAATCAAGATCAAGATGTTTTATTCTTAATAAACTACTTTAAATTACATCTTTTTCTATTTCAGAACTAAGCAATTCTATTTCATTGATTCTCTGATCTAAAAAAAGTTATTTTTTTAATTATTAAATATTATTACTAAATAATATGAAAAAATCATTATTGTCATATCATATCAAATTAGCAAGCACATTACATTCTAAGCAAGCACATTACATTCTAAACAAGCATATTACATTATAAGCAAGCATATGCCATTCTGAGCAAGAACATGTCATTGTAAGCAAGCGCATGTCATTCTACGCAAGCAAGTGTCATTCTATGTAAGCACACGTAATACATATGTTATTTTATGTTTTATTTAAATGTCAGTTAACATTTAAATTGATAAGAAGTTGAGGAATTTTTAAAAGTCAAAATGTGATGTCATCCCAAATACATAGCTTTCAATATTTATCTGCATTGTACATTTGGTTCATCTGTAAGAAATAAATCTACAAATGTTGAGTAGTGAGTCTCTTCACTTTGGTAGAAGAATAAATGCCAAAAGAGCAAGCATTGCTCAGGATTTCCGTCTTGCATTAATTAATTTAGGAATTTTCTGAAATTTCACTTTAGGAAATACTCCAGATTTTTCAAAAAAGTAGAATACCATAGTAGGACGCCATACTAGAATGTACCTATGTTAGTTGAAATAGAAATTTCATATCATCACATCATTCTGTTTCAAGAATCACTTCTTTACCATTCTTAAAATTCTTGCTGAGCTGGACAATTCTTTACAAGTTCTAAGATAAACAGATATTCAGTATTGGGAGACATGTTTTTTCCTCTTGGTCTAGACTTGGTCTAAAACACAGCCCTCAGAATTAGGGTTGGCATTTGACAATGCCAACCTAACTGCTGACCTCAAAATGAGGTCAGCAAATTATTGCCGACCTCATTTTTTTTTAATTCTGAGGGTTAAGAATATGATGTTGACAACTCATGAATAGTGATTCTTCCAGTTTCTTTTCAATAAAAGGCCTTTGTAACTGACTGACAAACCCATTCTTTCATCTCTGTACTCTTTCATAAATTGTATTTATCAAGAATAGTTGTTAAACCTTTAAGAACAGTATTTACTTTTCTGTCTTTTAAATCTAACTAAACTTAACTTAACTTCCCTTTATTTATTCTAACTAACACTTTAACACTAATATATACCATCAAAGTGCAATGACCAGTTTTCTAAATGTATTGTTTTCTCTATCTCTTCTTTAAGTTTAACAGTTTCTTTAACATTTAATCTGAATATACTAGGCTGTGAAGGTGTCTGAATGTTGATTTCAACTTGAGATATCTATCAACAAATGTTTGCTTCTTGCTAGTTGATAACTTTGAAAATGTTATTAATTTGGTTGCAGTTTTGGTTTTTCTGTAACTCTTGCTGGTACTTGTAGACTGTTCTTCTGAATCTTTAGACTCTAGATACTCAGCCACAGACTCAGATTCGGAAGTTGTCATTGTTACTGTTGCTGTTACTGTGTTGAAGTAGGCTTCAAGGACTTTTTTTCTTTTTGGATAGATTTTTAATTTTTGAACAAACAGCCTTCAAGTTGAATACTCAACTTGTCCTTTCTTTCAATTTGAAGATTATAAAATCTTTTGTCCTCACTTCCCTGCAGAGCCATTCATTATCTTTTTTTGTGAGCTCAATTTTTAAAATGCCCAAAAATGATCAAACTATTTAAAAGCTGTGGCCAAATCAGCAAAACAAAAATCGTACATGCGTGGTTATATAAAGTACGTTTGATCGCACATCATCCTGTGAAACTCTAATTTAGATTTTGAGTGGTAAAAAATTTCAGCAATTGTGGTGTTGTTATTTTCCAGTGATTTCTAGTGGAACAGCTATTTTTTTCCTTTATTAAAAAATTAAAAAACAGGGGGATATTTGTTGCGTATGTATCATGGTTGAGATACTTATGTTATTTTAGTTTTACATTTCAAGTTTTTTTACAATTAAGTTGAGTTAGTGCAAGAAAAATGAGTATACAACATGTTTATATATAGAATATAAAATCTATAGAACTGAAAAGTTTTTTTGCATTTTAAATTAAAAAAATTAAAAAATAAAGCAAGATTTAAACTTGCCACGAGGCAACCTTAACTTTTTCAAAACAGTAAGGGGGTTTAAAAAGTATGTTTTTTATAAGAACATAATTAAAAATTCTAATTTTATATTTAAAATAAACCATTTTATTAAACTAATTACTTTTAAAAATAATTAAAAGTTAAAGATATTTAATATTGATACAAAAAGAAAATTTAGAGTTATACAGCTATTTTACCATGCCCCCATTTTTCCTCGCAGATTCGTACGTTAAATAAAAAATCAATATAGCTCATTAAGTTTAATGAAAATTACCAACCTAAAAAACTGAAGATCTCTTCTACTTTTTTAAAAATAAATTTAGTGTTTCATAATTTTTGGGCGATTCTTTAGCATTTTATAGTCTATAGTTTATAATGGTTTAAGATCTTCTTAGTTCTGCTATACTATTATAAAACAATAACAAACTGCGATACTGTTATAAAACTTTTGCTATAAATATAAGAATGAAAAATTTTCAAAATTTATAAGGGGATGTCTTTAATCCTCCAAAACGACACTGGTGATAGCACACTAAACCACTGAGCTATCTATGATATGCTTTTAGGAGAAAAACAAACCTAATTATAAATAAAAATACTTAAGTAAACAAATAATAGGTATAGAAATGATCGATGTGGAATAGATAAGTATAGAAAAGGTAGATTTGGTAAAGACCCGTATTTTATGGGTCCAGAAAGCTAGGATTTATATATAAGGAAAAAGTATAGAAAAGGTCAGTGTGGAATAGACTTACAAAGACCTGTATTTTTAAATTTTCAAAATTTAACACCTACTATGGTCATATAGGCAACTCAATTAATTCTCTGCAAAAATTCTAGAAAGTTTCAGAGATTTCTATAAACATCCAGAACAGTCCAGAAAATTCTACAAAGTTTCATAAAGTTCAAGAAAATTTTAGGCTTAAGAAAGTCATAATGATACTTCCTACTTACATACTATTTAAAAAACTTTGTGTTGTGGGTGACCTTTTTTAAAAATTAATCAGAATAAAACCAATTCTTACTACTTTTGAGCAAAAGTTCATCAATTTATGATACAGGAAATTAATTATTCTACGAAAAGTCATAACCCTAACTAAAGCAATTTTTTACAAGGTGATGCCCTTTCTAGCATTAACCTGTTTTGCAAATCGGAGTCGAGTATTCTTATTATAATACTACTACTAAAAGAATTACAACTATACATACAATTACCCTTGATATAATTACCCTTACATAAGCTTTACAACCTTACCCTTACATAAGCTTTACAAGCTCCCTTTACCCTTAGATAAGCTTTACAAGTTCCCCTTACCCTTACATACAATTAAACTTGGAGTTTTAGTCAGTTTAATGTCAGAAGCAGAACAAAAACAAGTCATTTAAGTTAATGGATAAAATAAATAATTTAAATTAACAAATAAAATAAATTAAATAAAAAGATATAATTATTGGTTTTAACTAATGAATTAGATAAATAATTTTAACTAATGAATAAAATACACAAACAAATAATAATTAAAAGTATTATTTAAAAAGTGTAGTAACACTTTAATTTACTATTTGCTTACTTAAGATACTTACTACAGATACTTGCTAACTACAGATACTTGCTTACTACAGATACTTGCTAACTACAGATACTTGCTAACTACAGATACTTGCTAACTACAGATACTTACTACAGATACTGCAGATACTTACCAATTACAGATAACTCGCTTTCTAATGTTGCATAAATGCTTTGCACCTCTGATAATCTATCACTCATTTCTTTGTGTTCTTTTTGAAGATTCAGGTAAGATGTTCTAAAAAATTATTTTTTTAATAATATTAAAACTTTACAATAAAAAGATTAATATAACTTTTAATCAAAAAAAAAAAAAGAAATTGAACTGGGACAACTTTTATACTAAAAAAATTAAACTGAGACAACTTTTAACTAAAAAACCAACTCTACTAACCTCTGAAATTGTTAAAATAATAATAAATAAGCTATGATATACTAAAATACAAAAAAAATATATTTTACTACTATAAAGGTAAAATAATAGTCTAATACTCATAATGACAAAATTTTCTGTGGTATATAATTGTAGTTATAAATTCAACAAAAGCAATAATAAATAAAAAATTTACCCCATATCACTTAGTTTTTTTGATAACAGCATTAGGTTGTTTGCAGAAATCTCTTGTTCCTTGTTAAATATTTTACTGAATCTGATAAATTCAGACTCTTGAATATTAAGTTTTTCTCGTGTTAAACTTAATTGTTTGTTTACTATGGTCTGCTCATTTTTTATTCTTAGTTTTGCATCTTTTTCAATCTCAAGTTTTTCTTTGATCAATGGACTAAAGTAAAATAAAAGATTATCCTGAAAAAACAATTTATTATTTAAACAGTTAAAAAAAATTTACTTAGACATGGTAATGAGAAACAAACACATTAGCTTAAAAGAACTAGTGTTTCTTAAAAGAGAAAGTGTAACACCCTGTTGCCAATCAACAATTAACACAATAAAGAACTCACAACATAACTAGGCCACATTTAAACATTAAGTATTGAATTACATTTTGATTTTAAATATTAAAAATAACTTTATTACTCGTTAACCCATGAAGTATAAAAAATGAGCAGCTTTAGTACAGTGTTTATAATGCTTCAGAATCAATAAGTTCAAAATTTAACACCTACTATGGCCATATAGGCAACTTAGGTAAAGAAGGTGGTACAGACTCCTGTGAACTCATTAAATGTTTAGTAGTGCTCTGAAATAATTCTTGAAGTATCATAATTACAAGGAAAAAACAAAAAAAAAAATTTAAAAATATTTTTTGTATTGTTGCATAGTTGAATAACTTTACCAATATTTACCAGTTAACTTCAATAGAACTTATTTCTTTATGCAACTTGGCATTGATATTACCTAAAACCAAGTAAATAATGTATCCTTAATCAATTAATGTATAATAACCAAGTGAATAATGTATATGTATATATGTAATGTATAATAATAAAGTAAATAATCTATGCATAATTAAGTAATATATAATGACCAAGTAAATAATGTATAGGTATATACGTAATGTATAATAACTAAGTAAATAAGGTATGCATAATTATGCAATGTATAATATCCAAGTAAAGAATGTATACATATATATGTAATGCATAATAACCAAGAAAATAATGTATGCATAATCATGTAATGTGTAATAACTATAATGTTATGTAAAGAAATATAAATGTATTAATTTAAATTATGGATCAGATGAGACTGTTGTATGTATAAATAATAAAATAAATTATTGTAAATAAAATACTACAAAAAAATTTAAAAAAAATTTGGTAAATTTAAACATTAAAGATTATAAAAATTTAAAAACCAAACAATACTAGCTTGTCTGATTTTCTCTTTAAGACGTGATTCAATTCTTCCTTGAAAATCACAATGCCACTTAAGTTCTTGCACATCAAATACACATTTTTCATGCTCTAAAACAATTAAAATGACAAACTATAAACAATGAACCAATGGAGGACATTCTAAATTGCCTTATTTTTATATGAACATAATGAATTTAGTGTTTACAAAGTTATTATTTTTTTGTATAATATTCATGATTTCACAAATCAAAAAAAATATTTTTCATAAAATGTAAATAAGAAAAAAGGCTTAAAACACAAAGTAAAAGCAAAATCAAATGTTTGTATAATTTTTATTTACATAAGCATTGATATAAATGAAGCATGTTGTACAGAAGTTTTAAAAATTTTTTATGCATCTTCATGAAACACTTGACTTTATTTTGTATTCTTTAGCTAAAAACAATCAGTTAGTCTTATTTATCTTTTTGTTGATGCATTTAAAAACTTGAAGTGTATGTAGTAAGTCAACAACATTTGTGGATAAAAGGATTAAGGATAAGCAGCAATCATCAAAGAGTTAAACAAGATAATATATTATCTATATAGAAAAATGTTTTGAGTGGTGAACCTCAAGGACCTATATAATAATTATAACCCATTATAACTATATTGTGATGCATTATGGAGCAACAAATTAGAACTGTTTGAATCTAATGGATGGAAGAAAAATTAATAAGAGACTATTTTAGAGACAGATTTGGGAGTAAACTTCTCCAGTATAATCTCCTGGATTCAAGCAGATATTTATTCTTTGAGCAATGGACATATGAAGAGCTGAAGAGGTTACAAATGTAGAAATAAAATCTATGAAATATGGAAAAGATACTAATGTGGTAAAAAAAAATGCAGAACATCTAGACAAATAAACCCAAAAATTGAGAAATTCTCAGATAATGAAAATACATTAAAAAGCAACACAGATTGGGTAGAATTTTTATCAACATCTTTGCTTCCAACAAGAGTGCAAGCAACCACTATTAGAGTTGGAAGTTACTGGATCAGAAAAGATGAAGTTTGTAGAGCAAGATAACGATTGACAGATGACTTAATAGATTGCAAATTATATGAATCAGGAAAGCAAGACGAAGAAAGCGAATTCCAAAGAACTGATGTTTTAGGAAAAAAACTAGAGGAATAAGAGTTTTTGGAGCACTTAGGAACAGTCACAGAAAAAAGATGAGACGTAATTGAACGACTAGTAACACAAGAATGAATTTTAGTATGGCACAAGAGATGCTAGCTCTTTAGAGAAATGCCCATTATAGTATTTGTAGAAAAGAGAAAGAGAAGCAACATTACAACAATGTAATAATGATTGGAGGTTGGCTGCGAGAGCAGATCTAACTTTGTTTACAATGCGTTTTTGCACCTTGCCTAAAAGAGAAAGACATCATTGTAGAATTCGCGCTAGATGTGGCAACAGTATTCCATACAAGACCGGATTTGAGATTCATAGAGATAAAGAATAGAATCCGGAGTAAGAAAGTGTCAAGCATGATAAAGAGAAGCAACATTAGTAGATGCTAATTTTGCAATGGATTTGATATATGGTTTCCAAGAAAGATTGAAAGTAAGAGTTAATCCTAGAAGATGAAGGGTAGATGACTCATCGAGTACATTACCGTTCATAAATATAGGAAGATCTAAATTATTGTGATAACAATTGGTTGAAAAAAATTGGGCTTTATCTGAATTAAAGTTCACAAGCCGCTGTGAGCCCTATGCTGTAGCAGAAGTGAGATTCTTTTCAAACTCAAATGCCCCCTCAAGCAATTAGAGAGTGTTGGCTTCTTATCATGACAAGAATAAATGGTAGTATCATCAGCAAACAATGCCACCCAGTATAGGGCCATGGATTAAAACTTGAGAAACCCTTGAAGTTACAGCATAAGAAGAAGAGTGCTGTCCATCGAGGAAAACTTATATACTATTTTGGAAAAAAAGGATTCAATAATTTTAAAGATATTGCCAGATACACTATAAGAAGAAAGTTTACGGAGAAGACCAGCATGCCGAACTTTATCAAAAGCTTTAGAAATCTTAAGAGTGATAGCCTAAACCTCTCCACTTCTATCTAATGCATGATAAAACCTATTGGTTATTACAATTAAAAAATTAACTGTAGAACAAGAAGATCGAAATCCATATTGATGATCAGAAAGTAAGTTATTAGATTCAAGATGAGAGAAGAGTGTTTGTTAACTAAAGATTCAAAAACCTTCCTTATGATAGGAAGGAGACTAATGGGACGGTAGTTAGATGAGTCAGATCGCTTCGGAGAACACTTCTGCAAAATTTTAACAGGCATGTTATTCAGACCACAAGCTGTAGAAGAGTCTAAGCAGGAAATCACTTCATATACAGAAGCCAGATTGATACAAATGTCAATCAACCTATTTGACGGCTATATCAGGTAGAACGCAACTAGTGGAACCAAGAGATAATATTGATGAATAGTTCTAAGCAAACAATTCACTTTCATCTTTAGGTGAGGTGACAAAGTCTGAGCCATACAAAAGAGGTGGAGTAATAGATTTGCCCTTATTATTTATACTGTTAAAGATTTTCCAGAAGTTGCAAGTTTCTAATTTTTGTGATGAAATACGAAATCATATCTAAACTGGAAAGTAAAGACAATTGGCAAAAATTTAAAACAACAAAAGTTGCGCAAGAAATGTAATAAAGAACCAAGAAACTGTTCTGCATTTTATCAAACATGCCACAAATGTAATACAAAAATCAAATGAGTGAATTGCTGCAAACAAAAAAATGCACAAATAATGGACTGATAAATATCTAGTTGAGTTTGTATCATCCTATCAAAAAATCATTGTATTTGTATCAAAAGGTTGTAAAAAGTTAGCTTTGATAATCTTCAAAATCAACAACAAAATATCATTGTAAAATTGACACTGGAGTTAAAGTTGATGTTATAAGAGTCTACCACCAACTTATATCATATTAAAATCTTACTTATACAAACATTAAACTACATAGTTAAGGCAAAAATTATATCCATGCTCTAACGAAAAAGATAAAATGTTACTAAAAAAATTTTTAAAAATTTTTAAAAAACTAAAAAGTTGGTAAAATTCTATATGATGGAAATGAAAAGCAAACTTATTTTTTGCCATTCAGAAGATTTAAGTTTTCACACTTATCTTAAGGTTTACATCTGCGCAAAAAGTTTTTCATAAAAAATGCCAGTGATCACAAACTGTTTTCAGAGATCATAAGCTATTTTTATTGATCACAAACTGCTCTCATAGATCACAAACTGTTTTCATTGATCACAAACTGCACTCAGTAATCACTTCAGTGATCACCAATTGTTAAGAAAATTAAAAAAATGCTAGCAAACACTTCCATGTCTTTAAAGAACATAGAAGAGTGTACTAAAACTGCAAAAATACTACATCAATTTATAAAGCAAAGAAATGATTCTGGCTGATATGGTGTAGAGAACTCATACTAATGAAATAAATGAATAAATCCTGGAAAATAAAACGATCCTGGCTATTTTGGCTAAGAGTAAAAGCTTGAGGCCAACAGTGACTAAAGTGTATTTGATCAATTGAAATCCATTCTGTAGGGGTTACATCAGTAAAAAATATTATTTTTTATTTTAATTACTTTCCACAAAAAAATTACCTTTTTGTACATCTTTGCAAAGTTCATGATATCTTCCATATGTTTTATTATAAAGATCTTCTCTTAGTTTTCTAGTTCTTTCTTTTTCTTGTTCTAGAAGATGAGACAATCTTACGCAATCTCCCTCAAGTCGCTCTGCCAATCTAAGAATACCTTGAATAGTTGGATTAAGCTTTGAGGAATAAAAGTCTCCTTCCCATGTTACAGTACTTTTATAGGAAGAAATTTTTTCATCATACTCAATACGATTCAAAGCATTTGTGTTGTAACCTATGTTAAAATAATTTTTTTTAACTTAATAATTATACAAAACTTATAAAATTACTATGTAAATGTAAAAAGGTTATTTTGTTTCAAAATTTCATTTAAGCTCTAAGAATTGTTATTAGAAATTACTTAACACTTTATATTAGAAATAATATTCAAACTTGAACAAAAATTTTAAAACCTTTTTTTTGGCCAGATTTTGAATTGCAATATATATACAGCTTTTCTCAAATGTGTTTTTGTTTGCTTGAAACTATAAGGTTTGTAAGAATAGATGTGTAGAATTGTGTTTAGTTTTGCCAACTGAGCAAATTAAACACTCACAAATGAATTTTCTTGTAACATGACAAACTTTCATAGTTGAGAAGTCAAAAAACTTAGTTTAAAGCTTTTTTGCTTGAAGAAAGATTAGAACAGCAGCAACCACAAATGCTAATTAAAACTTTTGTGGATCATTCCATGTCAACTCAACCAGTGATGTTCACCGCACCATCTCAAATCTTTCTGAAATTTTCAAGGCTTGTAGTACATACAAAGTTAAGCAATTGCTGAAATTTTTAGGCCGTTTTGTCAAAAACTTTCTGAAATGTGATTTTATGTGATTTTTACATTTTCGCGATATTTGAATATGAATATTTCAAAAACTAAAACAGGCTGAAATTTTCAGCATTTACTCATTTTTTCATGCTGAGTTGAGTGGTGTTTTTATATCAAATGTAGCTTGCATAAAATATATCCTAAAAATTTCCAAACATTGCACTTTAGACAGTTTTCACCAATATTTGACCTGATATAGCCAAGAACCTATAAAACATGGAATGATGTTTGTTATAACATTAATAAGTACCATGTATGTGTTTTTTTTTTCATAGAAAATTCATGTTAATCAATAATAGTGTACCCATTGAACGCACCGTTATGCATCATGGTCATCAATTTTTTTGCACGTTGCAACCCCCAGATGACCATGTTGACAGTAATTCACACATTTCATATTTTGCACACTTATTAACCTCAGTAAGTACTAGTTATGGTAAAAATTTCATGTTGGTATCTTGTCTCCTTGGTGAAAAATCTGCAAGAAATTGAATATTTTCAAATAAATTTTTTGTTTAATATTTTATTTAGGTATTTCATATTATTAATATATAATTATTAATTTTTTTTTTTGTATTATTATATTTTTTTTAGGTATTAATTTTTTTTACGTATTTCATTTTTTTAATAGAAAACATTTATAAACATATACTAAAAGTTTTATTGAATTATAAGAAAGTAGCATGTAAATTTGTATTTTTTTTGGTTGAATTAGTATGGAATGTTTTTATAAAAATATGCTATCACATTTTTTTTATATTTGATATAGATTCAATATTTACTGAATATGGCTGAACTGCCATTGTGCACATTTGGACTGTTGCTTCAAGATGAATGCTACAAGACAGTTCATACACGCAGGGTCGGCTTGCATAACCTGTCAGAATTATTCTATGCTAACTTTGAATTGTTGATGTTAAGAACCATACCTGTTGATCCATTACAAAGAGAGAACTGCAATATATGCTTCCACCACAAACAGGTTCTCCTTGAAAAATTTGATAAATTGCAGCGGAGTTGTTGTGATCCATTCAATAAACATCAATGCAAAGTCACAAAGTCACTTAGGGCAGTCAGTATTGACAAAGCCAAGGAGCTAACACGAATAATTGGGAGACACATCAAACCTGGTGGAAAGCTATGCCCAAGCTGTCGAAAGTACGATACATCCCAGAAACCTGAACAGAGTTATGGACATTCAGCTAGTGATACCGATATAGAAGACATTGACTTGCATCTTTCTCAACCAAATGACAGTATAACAAGCATTGGCTGCGCATCAGTTGAGCTTCATGCAATGCCTGTTCGAAGTAGAATTTCATATGCCAAACATAAAATTGCAACTGCAACAACAGAGATCCAGAAGAAAGTAAACAAAGTCATCCAAGTATCTCTTAATATAGTTGTGAATGAAGGTGATGCTACAGAATGTGATAGTTGCAATGACTTAACAAAACTAGTGACTGAATTAAGCTCAATACAGCTTCCAGGCAAGAAAAAATTAAGATGGTAACACTAGCACAATCTAGCTGGAGCCAACAAAAAGTCTCACAGGAATTTGGAGTAACCAGTCACCCTGTTAAGCAAGCGAGAAAACTGAAAAAGTCATGTGGAATTTCAGCATACTCACAGAAAAAAATATGGCAAAGTTCTCCCAGATGATGTATTCGTAAATTTTTTGAAGATGATAAAATTTCCCACATGTGTACAGGTAAAGAGGAATACTTGTCAATCAGAATTAATGGTGATTTTGTTCATAAACAAAAACATCTACTTCTGAATCTCAAGGAGATGCATGTAGAATTCAAAAAACCAACTGCAATGAAAATTAGGCTTAGCAAGTTTTGTTCACTGCGACCACCATGGTGCATTAATGTAGTCAAAGCTGCAATCTGTTTGTGAGACTGTTGCTGACTTCATTACTTCACTTTGTACTTCCGCTGATAAAACAACGGATCATCATTTCACTGCCAAGGCACAGTCATCTTACCTACCTCATCTGAAAAAGTGTTTGCCAGTTGGAGCAGCAGTTGTGTTGCTGGATTTTGCAGAAAATTATTCATTTATCTGTCAGGATGCAGTGCAAGGCTTCCACTGGGAAACATCACAGGCTACATTGCATCCATTTGTTGTGTATCATAAATATAGGAAGATCTAAATTATTGCGATAACGATTGGCCGAAAAAAATTGAGTTTTATCTAAATTACCTAAAATTATCTAAAGTTCACCAGCCACTGTGAGCCCCATGCTGTAGCAGAAGTGAGATCCTTTTCAAGCTCAGATGCCCCATGCAAGCAATCAGAGGGAGTTGGCTTCTTATCGTGACAAGAATAAATGGTAGTATCATCAGCGAACAATGCCACCATAGATGTGAGAATATCTGGAAGATCCTTAATGTAAATTAAAAAGAGCATAGGGCCAAGGATTGAATCTTGGGGAACCCCTGAGGTTACAGAATAAGAAGAAGAGTGCTGTCCATCAAGGACAACTTTTATACTACGATTGGAAAGAAAGGATTCAATAATCTTAAAGATGTTTCCAGATACACCGTAAGAAGAAAGCTTATGGAGGAGACTAGCATGCCAAACTTTATCAAACGCTTTAGAAATGTCAAGAGCAATGGCCTTAACCTCTCCACCTTTATCTAATGCGCAATAAAACCTATCGGTTATTACTGTTAGCAAATCGGCTGTAGAACGAGAAGATCGAAATCCATATTGATGATCAGAAAGTAGGTTATGAGATTCGAGATGAGAGATTAAGTGTTTGTTAATTAAAGATTCAAAAACCATGCTTATGATAGGAAGAAGACTAATGGGACGGTAGTTAGAGGAATCAGATCGCTCTCCAGAATTTTGAAAAATAGCAATAACAGATGCTGCTTTCCAGCAGGCTGGAAAACAAGACTCTGATAAGCACTTGTTAAATAGTTTTGAAACGATAGATGACAGCTCCAGAGAACACTTCTGCAAGACTATAACAGGTATGTTGTCCAGGCTGCAAGCTGTAGAAGAGTCTAAGCAGGAAATCACTTTAGATACAGAAGCTGGAGTGATATGAATGTCGAGCAATGGATCAACCTGTTTGACGGCTATATCAGGTAGAAAGCAACTAGTGGCATCAAGAGATGATATTGATGAAAAGTTCTTGGCAAATAATTCAGCTTTGTCTTTAGGTGAGGTGACAAAGTCTGAACCATACAAAAGAGGTGGAATTACAGACTTGCCCTTATTATTGATACTATTAAAAAATCTCCAGAAGTCACGAGAGCCTAATTTTTGTGATGAAATACGAGATTTCATGATCTGAGAATAGCCAGCTTTGGCGTTAGACAAAACCTTTTTACAATAGTTCCTAGCAGTAATAAACAGACGTCTGTTTTCTGGAGAATTGTTTTGCTGATAGATATGGAAGTAATGGTTTCGATTGGCAATTGCAGCAGTACAATGTGAGGAAAACCATGGAGAAGAGTGAAACTTGACCTGGAATCGTCAAGAGGGAATAAAGGATTCCATGCTAGCCTGAATCCACGAAGTTATGTAAGAAGCACATTTGTCAACAGGGAGACGAAAGATTTCTACCCAGGGGCCATCACGAAGAAAATCACGGAAAGAGTCCCAGTCAGCTTTCAGGTAGTTGTAAGATGTACGATGATAGGGGGATTCTGATGGTAAAGAAGAATGAGATAATAGTTTTAGAGAGACCAAACCATGATCAGAAGCACCTAAAGGTGAGTGTGAAGAAACTGAGCACTGACTAGGATCAGAAACAAGACATAAGTCAAGTAGAGAAGGTATGTGACCATTGGAGTCTTTACGAATTAAAGGAAGATAATCATCAACACTAAGTTCACAAGATGAGACAGCTGAACTCAAATTAGTCTCACAAAGAGCAAGTAGGTCTGGTGAACTTTGTAAGAGATAAGACTCAACAGAAGAAAAGTTACTTCGAAGACCACGAATATTGGTGAATGATAGGTTTAGTTAACTTGGTGATGACTGTGGTTTTTTGTGTTTTATAGTTTTTGTTGCTTTATTCATTTTTAAATTTGTTAAAGAACTTGACTCCAAACATCAATAGTACTCAGTACACTGTCTTATAGCTCAAGCAATTGCCTCATTTCCACTAATAAACCCTAAGCCGTAACAAAGGGCTCCAATGTGGCCTTGGCAATGCACACCAAAAGTACAAACAGGGACACCGTCCATGCGCAACATGGCATTGTTAATACTCTGATATTTTTCAGCTGTTGATGGAATCAGCCTCTCTGAGAGCTACCACAGAGTTCGGGAAACCTGACTAACAACCGGCCTCAGAACCATAAAACTGAGTTTTAGAGCTGTACCCTCATTTGGAGAACAGAATGAGTTGCCTAGTCATAAAAACAGAGACACAAGCAAAACCCATGAATCGAGTCAAGAAGATCCAGCGTTCAACATCCTAAACTGGAAACAATGTATTAAAAATACATCTGCGCCAGCCTAATAGATGAAGAAGGGGTGCAAGGCTGGTCAACAGATAGAATCTGTTTACCCCTTAAGTCTTTGCCTAGGAGGCCTTCCACAAGACAGCAGCCGGATGCATGTAACATCTGCCCAAGATGAGTATTTTTATCGAGACACCATCTCTAGCCTTTACTCAACCAAGAGCTCCAAGGCAGGGGGTGTTTTATGTCGGAGTTTGCAATCTCCTAGCCATTGCCTAAAAAGGCATATCCTACAAGACAGCAGGACATGAAGCAGATTGTACTGGGTTACATGTTACCAGTAGCAGGATAAACCTGACCTGACATATCTTTGATGATTTACCACAATACACTTTAATGTAAAAAAAATATTTAAAAAAAAAACTTAAAGAAATATGGTTTTAATTAGCAATTGATTTAGTAGGAAAGGCTTAAGACACTAACATGAAATTTTCACCATAGCTGGTACTTACTGAGGTTAAGAAGTGTGCAAAATATGAAATGTGTGAATTACTGTCAACACAGTCATCTGGGGGTCGCAATACACACAACAAATTGATGACCGTGATGCATAACAGTGCCTAAAATGAGTACACTATTATTGATTAACATGAAGTTTCTATGAAAAAAATAAACACATATATGATACTTATTAATAGCATGACAAACATCATTTCATGTTTTATAGGTTCTTGGCTATATCGGGTCAAATATTGGTGAAAACTGTCTAAAGTGCAATGTTTGGACATTTTTAGGATATATTTTATGCAAGCTACATTTGATATAAAAACACCATTCAACTCAGCATAAAAAAATGAGTACATGCTGAAAATTTCACCCTGATACCTGTTTAGTTTTTGAAATATTCACATTCAAATATCGCGAAAATGTAAAAGGCACGTGAACTCGCGACAACCCTTAAAACTTTAAAAAATCATATCTCAGAAAATTTTTGACAAAATGGCCTAAAAATTTTAGCAATTGCTTAACTTTGTATGTACTACAAGCCCTAAAAATTTTAGGAAGATCTGAGATGTGGTGTGGTGAACAATTGTCAAAATGCTGGTTGAATTGATATGGAATGACTCTTGTATCATTAAAATCAATTGATTGCTTTAAAATTTACTTAACTCTTTTAATCATGAAGCTAGTTAATAAGACTTTGCTCTTGTGGAAACACAAGAAGCAAACAGCCTTTCTATTCTGCTGATGTTTTTTGGCAAGATTTGGCATTACTTTGCATTTGTTGAGTGGCCAAATTCATGAACTTTTATTTTTACAACTTGAGCCTTTTTCATATTATGTTACAGAACCAGCAAATTCCTCTTTTTTTTTAAAAAAAAAAAAAAATAGATATAAGTTATTTATATTTTTTCTAAAACCAAAAAAAAAAATTTCTATATTCTATAACAAACCTTTATTTAACATCAAAGTGGCAAAGTTATACATTGATATAAAATAAAAGGGCTAGCTATCACTTTTATTTTGTGATTTATATCTCAGTGATTACCAATAGTAGTTCTATCATATCATCAAAGAATTTTCTGAGGTTTATGACATCAAGCGCTTTTTCATTTTTTACAATAGTGTGTCATGTTGGGCATAGATGGTGTCCCTATTACAACTTTGGATTAATTAGCAGGACCTGTAAATATTAAACAAAAATCCATAACCACCAGTGAATTAAGCTGTTTCATCTTTGAATTTCAGTGTTGATGATTATTTTATTTTAATTCAGATGAGTCATATGCTTGAACAGCGCATATATATTTACATATCAATTCACCAATTTGTCATGAAATCAAGTTTGAATCCTCTGACCATTCCTTTATGGAATGGTCTGAGGATTCAATTGAAATTATCACTTTTCTCCTTGTACTTTATCATTCTCCTTCTGTTCAAAACTTGCCACTTTTTAGATGTTATTTCTGGTCAAACTGACCAAGCTCTTTCTTTTTATCCATTTGCCAAAATTGCTCTTATAGGTGACTTAATTTTTTTTCAATGATTTTGCTCTAGAACCATTACCCATGATAGCACTAGAGCCTTAAACTTTTCTTTCTTGATTTCTTACTTAAATAGTTAACTTTGTGATTCTTTTTCCAGACAACCCTAATTACTTACCTTTACTCCTTTTCTTTATTTTTAACAGCCTTTTTTTTTTACAGTCTTAATAGCCTTATCACAGAGCATCGCAGATGAGCATTTAAATGGAAGTTTATGCCTTCTTCCTAACCGATGCTGCAAAACCTGCCCAGAGGTGGGGTTTGAACCACGGATCCTTTGTTTCTCTAACCATATCTTTTGTCATGAAAAGACTATAGCTTTAATAAGTCAAGAGCCCTTTAGACAAGAGTTGTAGCTCTTGACATACCAAAGGCTTTTAATAAAGTCTTGATCCTGGTATTCTCCATAAGCTTGCTTCATAAGGTGTATCTGGGAAAGGTTTTGAAATAAAGTCATCCTTGAAGACCATCATGCAACTATACAATACAGCCTTGTTTGTTTTAACAGATCAAAAAATTTACCATCACTTTTAGATCAATTAGAATGGGTTTCATTTTGTAGTGTAACACACTTCCTTTTGGAATTTATCCCAATAAAAATTGTACTTGTTGAGTTTTTTCCTCATAAATCAATTGAAATTCTCTTTTGTCTATATGTTTTCTAAATTCACACAATGCACAGTTTTTTTGTAATTGTTGAGTTTTTTCCTCATAAATCAATTGAAATTCTCTTTTGTCTATATGTTTTCTAAATTCACACAATGCACAGTTTTTAAAGTATTTTTTTAACCGCTTCTTTGCTCTTTCACAAATTTTTTTTCTGGTAACACCACTTGTTACCAGAAAACATATGATTGGCATTTCATTGAGGATTTTTACTTTGCAAAATGCATCAAAACAATTTTTTTGATACACTTAAGCAATTTGAAAAAATAAAAGTTGCAAAAGTGTAATACCTTATTGTATGCTATTAGTTATTAAGATTGCAGTAACAAGTACTGTAAAAATTTAAATAAAAATACTACATAAACAACAGATTATTAAACCTTGCATAATATTTCCTTGTTTTAGCCATTCTATATGTTCTTCAAGTTCACTTTGCAAACTTTTAAAATTAATTTTAATTTTTTCAATACACGATGATGCAACTGTTGTAAATTGACAACTTCTCTTAATATCTTTTTCGATTCCAATCTCCAATGATTCGATGCTAGCTAAATAAGTAATAAATCTACATTAGTTGTTAAAACATAATTAATAACTGAATAAGATTATTAACTATGTCTAAATAATTTCAATCTAAAATATTATTTTTTAAATTTTTGAAAATAAAGATGAAAACTTATTTAAAGCATTAAAAAAAAACTTTTTGGTGGGATAAAAGCATAAAACTTACTTGCCATTTCTCTTTCTACAACATATATGAATTTATATGCTATTCAAATAATTTTTTTTATAATAATATAACCATCTAAGCAATTTTTAGGAATAACTTTCTTTTACCAATAAAATCAAATCAAAGTATCTATAAACATTTATTTAAACAGTTTAAAATAACACATATATTTACTTAAACCCCAAAATATATTATTTAATATAATTTTTTTACAACTTATTGCGACAATAATTTATTGTATTAATAAATAATTAGTCCCTCGTGATTATAAAAAGAACATAACTCGTGTCGTTCTTGATTACAATTATTTGTTACTCGTGTACGTACATGAGTAACAAATAATTAAGTAACAAGAAATCGTCAATGATAATAGTGGAGAAAAAAGTAGATAGGACATAGTAACAGAATGCCTACAAGAATATAGCATGACAATATAAAAAATTCTCTTAGTTGAAAAAAGCATTTTTTTTTATTATTTAAAACATTTTTATTTATCCTATTTTAAGCATGGGCAACAAATAGTAAGTTTTTTAAAGCCTTAGATATTAGATAAACATTTTTTGTGGCATACAAACATTGCTTTTAGCATGGTTTATTTTACACCAGTAATAAATGAGCAAAAAAACTCCCGCACGCAATAAAAAGAGTTTTTTCTTTTTTAAAAAAAAAGTTTTTACATTGTTATAATGTCCAGTGGTCAAAATAGATGGCGAAGTGGCACCCCCTCCTTCTAAACGTTTGTTAGACTCATATGAGGGGTTGTTAATTTCTTCATAAAAAAGTGAACAATGGTTGTTTTTGCTGACCTAGTAAATCTTGGAAAGTCGGAAGAGCCTCGTTGCCCGGTAGCTTTTTTTTTTTTTTATGGTTTACATTTGCTAATCGTTGTACAGCTTTAAATAAATAATAATAAAAATAATAATACAAACTTACAATGATAGAAAATATAACAAATATAAACAAGGTATCTGAAAGAAGATTGCAAAAATCTTGTCGTCAGGACCTTAAATAATCATTTAACAAAGATAAAATTAAAAAAAAAAAAAACTTTTACAAAATTGCAAGGTAAATAATCTGTGTCTGAAGAAAGATAAAGAGGATCTTCTCATAAGAATTTTATACTAACATTTAAAGTAAAAAGTAAAAAATAGAAGAACAATAAATAAAATAAGTAGGAATAAATTTCTTTAGACGTAAACATGTATATAAACAATAAAAAAAGTAGACCAAAATATAATTTTAACTTTTACTACTAATAATAACTCAATATATTATCCAACGAAAGAATGAGGTTTTTCAGTTTTTTTTAAAAAAAGGCGAAAAGTTATAGGTACTTTAAAATTAAAATTCGGCAAACCAATTTTATTCCAAAGGTGTGGCGCTCGATAGGTAATACAAAATTGATTAAAGTTTGGGTAATCCTACAGTTAAGTGGCCTAAAATAATTTTCTTTTTTCGCTTGTTGCGCTCTCGTCAGTAGAGGCTTTGTAAATAATAGGATTATTAATTGAAATAATAAAAGAAAAAAGATTGCTGCCCCATGCAAAACCCTTAGTCGATGTAGCAGCATCTTCTTGTAGCAGCAGGCTATAAGATAGTCGATGTAGCAGCACTCCGTTACGAGTCAGGCTATAAGATAGTCAATGTAGCAACACTCTCTGGCGTAACAAGCAAAAAAATAAAATTATTTTAGGCCGCTTAACTGTAGCTTTACCAAAGTTTGTTTGACAGAAAGGTTAATTTAAGCTAATTATAAAAGCTAATTATTAAAGCTATTATTTCTCAAAATATAATTACTGATTAGTTTAAACGGGAAAAGATCTCTGAAGACAGCTCGGAATAAGTTATTTATCCATATATATACAAAACATAAAATATTAAATACATTTAACTCGTATATATTCAGAACTCTCATTTCAATAAAATAATGCTTCGAATAAGAGAAGCGATTTGCAAAATTGGTTATATGGATTGCGCGTTTCTGACGGAGATAAAGACGTAGCAACTTTTTTTTTTTCTGTACTTTTCTTGTCTTATATTAATGCTTTTGTTTTTTCCGATCTTCATGCATGTTATTGTTGGTATAAAAGTTTTTTAGGTTTATTTGTTGAGTACTAGCTCACGTTATTTTAGATTAAGGTTAGTTAGTAGGACCGACGACGCGGATTTCGAAGTGGAGGGTACAATCGTCTAAAAAAAGTTCTCTATATCTAGAGGTTTCTAAAAAAAAATTAAAAAGGTCCAAAAGAAAAAAAAGTGGGGGCCAGCGCCCTCCCACTGGTTAAAACTTTTTTTTCCTTTGTGAATTTGTTGCTAAAATGCAAACAATTTTGAAATAGTTTTTCATTATTTAAATACTACTTACTGAAAACGGAGTTAATTTTTTCAAAAAAAACAACTGCCAATGCGAGTTTTTTGCGTGACTTTTACAAATAAGTGTTGAGTAAACTAGAAAACTTTTACTTTTGAATAAGTCTTGTTAGAACAGATGACGAGTTTAGCAAAAAAAATATTATATTTTTGATATCTTTGTCCTTTACAGCATTGACTTATTTTGTGTAGCTTTTGGATTTTTTTTTTGTGGGTAGAGTCTTTAGATCTTTTTTTCTTCTGCAACTTTGTATCTGACTGACTCGTATTTCTCCAGTGTTGGTGTACCAGGTAAGATGTGAGTTTTTTCCCATACGTGACTTACGTCAAAAACTTCTGAACGAATGAGGGATTTGCATTTCCGATGCATTCTATTGGACCATCAAGCACAAAGTAGTTATGCAAATTTACTCGAGGAAAAAACCATAGGAGGAGTTAAATTTCAAGAAGCGCTCGCTGGTCACTAACTGCCGTACAGGGCCACTAACTGCCTTCTCTTGGTCGATGTGACTACTTTAATTTGCTTCACTCTCCTTCCGGCAAATAATCTTTTGTGGCTATGTACAGTCTTTTGGTGATTGAATTTTATTTTTTCATAAGCTTTTTACAATCGGGGTCCAAAGTATCATCATACTGTCGATATGGACCACCTAGAAGTAAGTGACGTCATTTGTACAATAAACTTTTTTTTGTATCAATTTAGATTTTGTGGTTTTGAAGCAACTGAGATTGCTTATTGTGGCAAATGAACATTTTGTAAAGATATCACGAGTAAGAAGTTAATAAAAAAATGTACCGAACTTATGAGATTTTATGTTTGTTGTTTTATGGTAAATGCTTCGCAATTATTGTCGCGTAATGTTGTGAAAAGATTTATACAACATTACTTTAAAGTAATGTTACAACATTACTTTTGAGTAATGTTGTGTTATGCACTTTATATTCAACAAATAATTAAACAACAAAATAATTGTGTTTTAAGTTTGAATATTATATAAAATATTATTCACGAATTTTATATAAAATATTGTTCATAAATAATATTATTGCAAAAACAAGTCTTGTTTGCAAAGTGAATTCACTTTACAAACAAAAAGTACTTTACGTTTTTCTTACTTTAGAAAACTTAAAATAGCTCAATTAAAATTTTTAAAACATACTTTTTTATTGGTTACAATTGGCATTTAAAATACTTCTCTAGTTGACCGGTTCTTGTATTACTACAACTATAAAAAAAAAAAAAAAAAAGAAAAAGAAAGAAAAACTGTTTTCAATGCCAAAAATTAACAGAGCACCCTTAAAAACATGTTTTGCAATGGTTTGTATTGTTTGTTTATTGTTTTATTAAAAAAAAAAAAAAAAAAGACAAGCAAAAACAAAAAACCATTAATGTAACATATTTAATGAATATATATATATATATATATATATATATATATATATATATATATATATATATATATATATATATATATATATATATATATATATATATATATATGTATATATATATATATATGTATATATATATATATATATATATATATATATATATATATATATATATATATATATATATATATATATATATATATATATATATATATATATATATATATATATATATATATATATATGCAGGGGCTGTTTTAAGGATGGACCAATTCATTATAAAATCATCAATATTTTTATCTTCCAATTTCCATATCTATTTTGACAGCATGGTGTCTTTTGAATACTTTTTATTTCGAAAGGATTGTTAAAAATTGGCAAAACATTTTTTCCATTCACTCTCTCTTATGCCAATATATTGTTTATCAGGTACAAACAACACATTTAAATACTTCATTTTTGGATGGAGTTTACAGTAGAATCGACTGTAGTATTTGTATTTTTGTAAAGAATATTAAATTTGGTCTCTTTATTTACTTTAGATCTATTTGTGACATCTTTAACGTTAAAGGCAGTATTCACAGTTTTTTTTATTTATTACTATTTTTATATTTTAGGACACATATATTGTCATTCATTTCTATATTTTTTACCTAACAAAACCAAACCTTATACTGCTGCTCAAGTCTATAGTCTATTTTAATTGTTATACAATTTGAAGATAGTCATTAGTAAAATGCACTGATAAATTCCATATGGCTTCTTACAAGAAAGTAAGAAAAAAGTGAGCTATTGAAGATGCTAGTGAAGTTAGGAGCAACTACTTCATCTAAACTTTTAAACACAAATCCTGGAATTTTGTCCCATCCTGCAGCACCATTCTTTTTTATTTAAGGATTTTCACCATATTGTGGTTTTTGATGGCTATTATATCTTTTTTGTCACATATTTGAGTGGACATCATAGATAATTTTTATTTGACTTTACAGTTGGTGCAAAATATTCATTTAGAATTGTTGAATCGATCTTTGATTTATCATTGTTGCTACTTCCTTTTGAGGTCAATGTAACTTTTTTTATGTACTTCTTACCATCTTGAGTGTTTTCATTTCCTAGATCCTCTTCATTCTTCTCTAATTCCTTTGGTTGACTTTTGATTCTTTTTTTTTAAGATTTGCTTTTCATCAGCTGTATTAAATCATTATTTATCTATGTCTCGTATCATCAGCTGTCTTAAATCATATTTATCCATGTATTTTTGTGTTTCTTCATCAGGTAGTTTTTCTTAGGTGCTATAATTCTTCTGGGACTTTAATATCATTTTCTTATTTTGGAGAATTTAAAATGTCTAAATCGTATCTAAAGATAATGATAAATGGTGTCTAAAGAAAAATGTCTAACATCATTATGCATCAGTTTTTTACTAATTAAAATGATTTGTAGCAATATTTATTAATAATAAAACAATTACAATCTTGAATAATATTTATAAAAACAAAATAGTTTAATAAAGAAAGGTTAAAAAAAACTATTAGGATTCCAAATGTTACCATTTGGAATCTTAATAGTTTTTTGGAAACAGCTATTTTAGGTAAAACAAAGTAATCGAGGTGGTTTAACAAAACATGTTCATAGTTTGTAATAAGTTTTTTAATATATATATTTTGCTTCTTTGACAACTATATTACTCTTTGTGTATTTGCAACCTTCAGACTACTAAGAACTCTGAAGAGTATGAAATACAGTAAGAAATGTATTTTTTAACAAGTTTGTATGTTATTAATATTTGTAGGTGAAAATGGAAAGGAAGACTAATGCAATTCATAAGCCCAAAAATACTCAACCTGATTTGTATAGAGTCGATGTTGATGGCAAAGTGATCTATACTGGTGGTAAAAACAAAAGTGTGGATGAAGAACTTTTTGAGTTGTGTGCTTTAAGTGGAGTTAAAATGGACATAGATGTCTTTAACATTGTCATTGATTTGTTGCGAACAAATGTTAATCCAAATACAATATTGGATGTTTTTAAAAAAATGTCAAATCAGCAACCACAAAATATTAAAAGTAAAAGCAAAGCTGATAAAGTTCTTATGACCAAAACTAGTTCAGAAACTCAAAGTGACAAACTAAGTGAACAATATAAAAATGTAGAAGTAATTTAATTTATGTTATTTAATTGTTCACAGTTTTCATGCTAATAATAGTTCCCTTTCTTGTTATTCTATATTAGTCAATGTATGTACTAAAGCCCTCCAGCTCCATATTTTAGGATAACATGGCCAGCGGCAGATGTTTTGGGCTCTGTCAGATGGCATTAAATTGCTGATGTAAATGTGCTTTTATAGTTGTGTGTGTATATATATCTTTATGTAATACTGTGTAATATTGTTAGCGTTGTACTAATACAATATATCTATACAAATTATATAATATTCACTTTAATTTTTTATGAAAATTCAGTGATATTAAACAAACTTAGGTCTACATAATATATTGTTATTTTAATATGGCAATACTAAAAAACCATAAATGAGGTACTATATGTACCTGGAGGTTCAGGTTTAGGGATGCAGTATATCTAAGTAAGATGAACAGCAAAAGTAAACAGCAACAGCAAAAATAGTAAAAAGTTATTAATTTTATACCTCTTTGTATATATTTACATATTTTTGTAGATCAAAGTTAGCATATTATTATTTATAAAATGTTATTAATATTATAGTTCACTTTACTTTTTAAAATTTCAATTTTACCTTAGACAGGAAAATGAATAAAAGCTATATTATTTTATTATTTATACGCAAAAAATTTGCCTGCTCAAACTTAAAACTCTCAATCGATATATGTACTAATGCCAACACAGATGGCTATATATATTAGAGTACATCAAACCCCAACCATTTTTTTAACTATTTACTTCAGTTTCGGTCCTATGGTTCCTGTGTTCCACTTTATAAATTATGACTCCTGTAAAAATTTAAGATTTTTCTGTGACAGTTTAATGGTTCCACAATAAACACAAATATCTGTATTTTTTGAAATAAACTGTTTTTAATACTATTATTGGTGTTGGTTAAATTTAAACAATTAATATACACAAAATTACTTACAGTTCCAGGAATTACTGCAAAGACTGTCAAATGGACAAAAGAATGCTCAAATATTCCAAACAAGTATGACAAAATTTACAATATCAAACAGAGCACAGTACAATAGGTAGCTTTTAGCTACTGGGACTATGGTTATATAGTTAAATATTGTCAATTGTCATCTTCGTGATCTGCAACTGTTGGTGCTGCTTTTTTCTTCTTACAGCTGTGCAGACTTGGAACTTTCTGTCAGCCTCAACAACTTGTAGTATGTTCTGATAATTCACATTGGTTTTGGCTTCATCTAGAAAGTCTGCACTTAGTTTTATGCCGCGTTCCACACTGTCATTGATAAAATTGACAGAAATCATCTTCATCTTTGATGACAGAAACGAAGGGTGAACTAGCCAGTTTTTAATGTTATTGTTAAAAAAATCCATGTTTATCTCTAAAAGGCTAAAAATGTACCATGAATCTGCAGTAACCAAATCTCCAAGTCTTGTTGTGGCAGTGATTTCAGTCAGGAACTTGGGTTTTCCATAGCCAGTTCTGTAGTAATTATGCAGCACAGCCATTCCATAACTAGGCCTTGCTGCCAGAAGCTTCTTGGCTAAGTACTGCAACTCAGGCTTTAAAACAATGTCACTGAAAGGAGCACCATTTCAGAACATAGGTACCACAGATGATGCTTCAGTGCTTTTATAGTGCTTTCAGATATTTCAGAACTCACTTGTTTGTACTTCAGAAGGTTCTGATAAAGGCAGAGATCATGCCATGGGGTGTCAACTGCAGATCTACGAGGTGTTAACCAGGAAAAAAATTCATTCAGCGTTTTAGCGAAGTTGGGAATTTAAGTGCGGCTAAAAAAAAAAAAAAAAGGTTTTACATTCATTACATTCTAATATTTAAAAAAGTTGATAAATTTGATATTTTTTACATACAATTAAATTTTAATCAAAATAGTTTTGTTTTTTGCTGGGTTATATTCATAGCAGAAATATTTTTCTACTTTATAAATGTTTAATTCTAATTATTCAACTTGTTTCATTTTGAGCAATTTTCTTAAGTTTTTATTTTTAAATCACTTCTCTACCTTGTTTGATATAGTAGAAAGAAAGCAAAAACGAAAGACATTTGTTTGCAGTTTTAATGAATGAATTGTTAAATTTATTCATTGAAACTTTGGTCCATGATCTATTTTTATTGTGTACATTGCTTTTGAATGGAGTTTTAAAAGATTTAAATGATTGTTTAGGTATATTGTCTTTTATTTTCATTTTCATTTTAAAATTACAAATGTAAAAAGTAAAAAAAAAAAGCTAAATAGTATTTAATGTTTAACAAAACATTTTTGATGATTTCTACGATTCTCTTGTTACTTTTCAAATTGCTAAAACAACTTTTTAATTGACGACTGTTGATAAAAACACTATAAATTATATATGTAGGATTGCTAGAACTTTAGCTTTTTTAAAGGAAAACACAGTAAAAAAAAAAATATTTTTACAGGTTTGTATTCTATTCCGTAAAGACCAAACAATTGGCAAACCCAATGTTTAAAAAAAACGCTGCCTCAAGGCCGTGAGGCATGCGCTTTTTTAAACCTTGGCTATAATAAAAATAAATTTATAAAATAATTTATTAAACATATTGAAAAATCTTAACTAGGGAATAACTGACGTCAATAAAAATTTTAAAAAAAAAAAGTTTTTTTTCAACTTTTGAATGAATGATCTTATTAAATGTTAATGATGTTTGTTAATGATGACACGTTTTTACACATTTTAAAAAATCAATTGACATAATTCTTTTCCTCGTCGTGCGTACTAATTGCGTTGTTTACTTGTCTAGCGTGACATAAATCTAAGACTGATTTAATTTTTTTTTTATTATTACTATGATCTTATGAACCTTTGGGAATACCGCGTTATACACAGTGCCATCAGGCTGGCCAACACCCTGATCTACAGGTTGTCCACCAGGCACTGTATATTAGACACACAAAGGTGACGAAACTGTGTAACTTCGTCTGCTGTGTAGCAGTGGAAGTTGTTCCTGCAGGCAACAAAAAGATCTGCTCTTCAAAAAGGACCAGGTTTTAAGAAAGATTCAGCAGCTGCTTCTATACTTTACTTCAACATAGTAATCTGAGAAACAGTTTGTAAATCATTCGAGAAAGGTTGAGGGTAAAATGGACTGAGTGCCAATTCTTTGCTCAGGGCCACACACCCGGCACTGACATGTCCAGTATTACTGGCCGTAGTGTCAAAAGTCATGTTTACTATTGACTCAGCACATTTCCATGACTACAACAACTGCATTGTAGCATTAGTGATGATATCTCCAGATTGTTGATCTGTTTCTGGTTGATAAGCAGGTACGCAAAGAATTTTGGCATTGGTGTTGTTGTCAACAGTGACCACAAGTCTTTCCTGTAAGTCATGTGTTGCCTGGCTCTTCATCAGTTTAGAATCCTAGTGCAGGGAAGCATACTTTGGTGGAACCCATGACTTCCGAACTTCATAAGCAATTTCTTCATTCACCATATGCCTGGACCTGTCTGCTGTGGCATATGATACAACAATTTTGCTAGCATCATCTCCGGGTTCTTCAATAATGGCCTTAGTGAGTGCATACTATGGTGCAGGAGAAATTTTCATTTATGTTGCCAAAACCACAATTCTTGGAGATATGAGAATTTTATAAGGTATATGAGCTGCTGTTCCAGTGCGAGTGGTTCGATGGCATGTTTTTACCAGTTTCTTTCCAGAAGTCTTGAAAGGACTATCTATGTCGCATTTACTTTCATTACTATTTTCTTCGCTGCTGTTGCTAAAAAGCTCAAAAAAAGCAGTTATGCTGTAGCAGTAACTGCTTCTTCTGCCTTTAGTCTCCTTTCTTCTTGCTTTTGCATTCATACCTTCTTGCGCTGTAACTGTAATGCCAATATATATATAAATATATATGTATATACAACCCTTGGAATTAGGGTCAGCATTCGGCAATGCCAACCTAACTGCTGACCTAAAGTTTTTGAGATTTATGGTAAAATTTTTGTATCAAATTTTTTTTGCCAACCCGATGTTGACCTCTTAAAGCATTAGGTCTGCAAAATATTGCCAACCTCAATTTCTTTAATTCAAATATTTGTATATATATACATATATATATATATATATATATATATATATATATATATATATATATATATATATATATATATATATATATACATATATACATATATATATATATATATATATATATATATATATATATATATATATATATATATATATATATATATATATGTATATATATACAAATATATATATATATATGTATATATATATATATGTATATATATATATATATATATATATATATATATATATATATATATATATATATATATATATATATGTATATATATACAAATATATATATATATATATATATGTATATATATATGTATATATATATATATATATATATGTATATATATACAAATATATATATATATATATATATATATGTATATATATATGTATATATATATATATATATATATATATATATATATATATATATATATATATATACACACTTACTAAAGTGTATTTTTTTAAGCATTTGCTCACTTTTTTAACTTAGCTTAACCCATACGGCTTTTTTAGAAAAAAAAGAAAAAAAAACAAAGAATGATAAATGAAACGATTGCTGCCCCATCCCAAACCCTCAGTTGATGTAACAGCACTCCACTGCGAGTCAGGCTATTTGTCAGTCAATGTATGTACTGAAGCCCCCAGCAGCAGGCTATTTCAGTATGACGTCAGATTGCTTAACTTAGTACACAATACTATTTGTGTATATATATATATATATATATATGTATATATATATATATATATATATATATATATATATATATATTTATATATATTTATATATATATATATATTTATATTTATATACATTTATATATTTATATACATTTATATATTTATATATACTTATTAGTTTATATATATTTATATATTGTTGGATTTGAGAGTACCGAAGGTAAAAAATGATTCTTTTGACAACAAATCATGTGACTTTTTATTTTAAGGGGTAAATTAAGAGGTAAACAGATTCTATCTGTTGACCAGCTTTGCAACCCTTCTTCATCTATTAGGCTGGCATAGATACACTTATAATACAATGTTTCAAGTTAAGGATGTCAAATGCTAGATCTTTTTGACTCATTGCATGGTTTTTGCTTGTGTCTCTGTTTTTATGCAACTCATTCAATTATCTCCTAATGAGGGTACAGCTCTATAACTCAGTTTTATGGTTCTGAGACCAACTGGTAGTCAGGTTTCCTGAACTCTGTGGTAGCTCTCAGAGAGGCTGATTCCATCAACAGCTGAAAAATATCAAAGTACTAACAGTGCTATGTTGCACATGGATGATGCCCCTATCATATTTTTAGTGTGCATTGTTGAGGCCACATTGGGAGCCCTTTGTTATGGCTTATGGTTTATAAATAGTAATGAAACATTTGCTTGGACTATTAGATAGTGCACTGAGTACTACCTGTGCTTCAAGTCAAATTCTTTAACCAATTTAAAAAATGACAAAACTATAAAACACAAAAAACCATCGTCATCACCAAGTTCTCTAAATCTTTCATTCACTAATATATTTGTGTTCAAAGTAACTTTTCTTCTGTTACATTTTATCTTTTGCAAAATTTACCAGACCTTCTTGCTTTCTGTGAGACTACTTTGAGTTCAGCTGTTTCATCTTGTGATCTTAGTGTTTGTGGTTATCTTCTTTTAATTCACAAAGACTCCAATACTCACATGCTTGGCCAGGGTATTTAGACTTGTAAAAATTCCCCATTTGTCAGGAAACTAAGTTTGAATCCATAGACTTCATCAAGCCATTTTTCGACATCTTGACAATCTTGAAAATGCTGCTCTGCTAGACCAGGAAAGGGTGATAATCCTATGGGGCGATGTCTGGAGAGTACTGGGGGTGCAGTAAGACTTCCCATTTGAACTCTTTTAGTGTATCTTTTACTGCTTTTGTGACATGCAGCCTTGTGCTATCGTGAAGCAGTATAAGTTTGTCGTGTTGATCCGCCCATTCTGGTCTCATTACTGCGATTTCATGATGTAACTGCACTAATTGATGTTGATAGTAATTTTCAGTGACTATTTTGCCAAGTTGAAGAAGCTCATAGTACAGTGCTCTGCGTTGATCCCACCATATGCACAGTAAGACCTTCTTGTGGATGTATGGTTTTTGCGAAAAACCCATGGTTTTATTTGCTTCAATTTGTTGTCGTACATACATTTTTTATCGCCATGGTTATGATGCAGAACAAAATGACTTTCTTTAGAATCTGTCCAGCAAGATTTGTGAAGTTATTTTTCTCTGCTCTTTGTTGCATTCTGACAGCTCATAGGGTACCCTAATTCCTTCCTTCTGAATCTTCCCATTGCTTTCAATTGAATAGAAACAGCTTTTTGAGACATCAAGTTGCTCCTGTGTTTGAGCCAAATCTACATCCAATAAAGCTTTTAGTTGTTCGTCTTCAAATTTTTTTGGCTGACCTGGCCGATCTTTGTTGTTGATGTCAAAATTGTCCGATTTAAAATGCTGAAACCATTCTTGACAGGTTCTTATGGATGGAGGAGTATCGCCATGAGCTTGGACAATTTTTTGGCAAACATTTGATGCGCGTCAGTGACTTTCTTCTTGAGATGGAAAAGCTCTTAACATAATAGACCTAGTATTATATAATATAAATACTATAGTGGGTACTGCTCTAAAGAGCTAGCATCTCTATTTCCATCTAATAAAATTCATTCTTGTATTACTCTTCATATAATTAAATCTCATCATTTTACTGTGACTGCTCCTAAGTGCTCTAAAAATTCTTATTCTTCCAATTTTTTTCCTCGAACATCTGTTCTTTGGAATTCACTCCCTTTTTCTTGTTTTCGTCATTCATATAATCTTTTAAGTCGTCTGTTAATCGTTATCTTTATAAACTTTATCTTTTCTATTCTTGTAACTTCTAAGGAAGTGAAACTGTTTAAAAAAAAATTTGACTTTCTTGCGAATAAAGTCTTTAATTAGTTGCAAATAAAAAACTTAAACTTTATTGATTTGAATATTTTTTTTTATTAATGCTGAATGTGTTAGTTTTTATTTTTTTAATGTTTTATTTTCAATTTTATTTGTTTTAATTTTGTTTTATTGACTGTGGAATGTTAGTAGAACATACAAGAAGTGTACATACATCAACTGAAATTGGTAGAACATGCAAGGAGTATCGTACATCGACTCAGGGTTTTGGATATGGCAGCTAATCTTTTTATTTAATTAATTATTTGTTTAATTATTTGAGTAATGAAGTTCAAAAAGTTCAAATTTTTTTGCACCATATTTTTATCTTTATCTAAAGAAGATGAAGCTTACTCAAAAATTATTTCTTGTAGAAAAGAAAAATCTTTCATATTGTAAATTTTCTACTTGCAAAAAACAAAAAACCTTTCAGTTAGGCAACACACTACAATAGTGGCAAGTGTTATTGCTAATTCAGGATGTGATGTTTCTAATTTTACACTGTTTTATTTAACTGCATTCAGAGTCGCCAAAGAAGTAGCTGAAGGAGGAGAAAAAATTTTTAAACTGATCTTGATATCACTCATACCTATCTTGTATTGAACAAATAACAGAAGCTGAAGTATATTGAAATTAACTGGGTATATTTCTATGGCATTCTTTACATAATCAAAAAATTGATTATGTAAAGAGTCTTTTTTTTATTTTCAAAATAAAAATTTATAGAAACATGTTCTTTTTAAACTAATTTTACACATGGTTTTCAAATTTTTAAATATAATTATTTAGTATAAAGTTTTTTACTAAACAAAATATATTTATAGTGTAAAAAAGCTTATAGAATGCAGTTTTTTAATTATTTCTGTTTTTTGATCTTCATTACTTAATAATAATGTTACAAGTTGTACATAACATTACATTTATATTTCCATCTGCTAGATCAATAATAATGTGACAAGTTGTACATAACATTACATTTATATTTCCATCTGCTAGATCAGTAATAATGTAACAAGTTGTACATAACATTACATTTATATTTCCATCTGCTAGATCAAGCAACAACAAAAACTATAAAAAATATATATAATTTGCAAAATGAGAACACTCCCCTAAGTTCATTGAAAAAAGGGCTAAATAGGGGCAAAAAATTATCTTTCATCCCATTTAGGGAAGTCATAAAGCTGTCCAACTATGATGAAAAAAAATTTTTATAGTAATATCAAGCCTGGGGCACCTTTTGAAAGGCATTGTTAGTTGAAATTTAAGTCCTTTTTTTTAACATTCTTATTTTGCTGACCACAGTTTCAACATAATAACAATACCCAGCAAACATTAAGTCTAAAAAAGACGTCTTTTAGATGTATAAAAAACGTCTAAAACGTTTAAAAGACATATTTAAGACGTCTTTTTTAGACTAAATGTTTGCTGGGTAATAATAGTATTAATAATTATAGCAATAATAATTATTATTATAATAATATTAATTATGATAGTAATAACAATTTGTAACTAGATTTTATAAACACAATAGTTATATGCACAAAGTTATCAAGTTACAGTTGAAAACTGATAAAAAAGTAACAATTAACAATGACATAAAACAATTATTTAATTAAAAATAAGAGATAAAAGCAACACACAAAAACAGTAATAAAATGTATAAAGAGTTCGTAATGAATAAACAATATTAAAATAAAAGAAGAAAAAAAATAATACAATTAGCAAAAATAAACACTTGAATATCACCTAGTATAATAAAATTTTTGACTAATTATTATTAATCAAGCTTTAATTTAAGTAACAAAATATAAACTAAAAAAAGAATTACTACATTAAGACACATTAAAACAAAAAAATAAAGAAATAAATGAATAGCAACAACAAACAATAAAAAAATCTTTCTCTTTGTTTTCATTTATATTTTTTATTATTTTTATATGTTTATTATTATCATATTTATTATAAATGTTGTACTTTAATTCTTTTACTTTTCAATAGTTTGTTGTTGTTTTTCTTTGCCTTCTTTATTTACTTTTTGTTTCTTATTTTTCTCATTTGGTTTTCTTTAAAAAGAAGAAAATCAAGTAAGAAAGAAATTAGTGTATGCTTTGGTGTATATAAATACTTTTTTTTGTATGTAAACTATAAAAGTTAAAATTAAATTGTATTTAAAAGAATTGTATTTCTTATTATTGTGAGATGATTGCTTAGGGAAAATATTATGGGCATATTACTAATGTAAAAAGTATGAATAACAAACTTGTTATCATAAAAAATTATTACAAGCCTAACTTAAAATTAAGTTTAACATTAGTTAAAATGAATGGTAGTAGATGACTTGGTGAAAATGGCTATTTAATGGTTAGGTTTTGTTATATCAATGACATTGAAGTTCTTGTATAAAATTAGATTTATGAAATATACACAGAAGTCAGTTGCTTATTATGCAGGTGAGAGCATCTGTTTTAATTAAGATCAATTTTATTTAAATTGATTAACTTTTACAAATAAAGTGATAATGAATTATATAAATTTTTTATTTTATTTTATTATTAGTATGAATTTAATTCATATATACTTGCATTTAAACAAAAATTAAAGACAAGTTAAAAAAGTACTTCTACTGTTCATTGGTGTTCAAACATAAATAAAGCTTGTTTATCATAGAGAATTTAGATTAAGAAATGAAGAATCATTTGGCAAAACAGAAACCAGTACATACTTGGACTATATCAGATGTAGGTGAATGGTTATGTAAAAATGGCTTTTCTCAGTATAAAGAATTATTTTGTGATAAACATAAAATTGATGGCTTAGCATTAATTACTTTAACAATTGAAGATTTACGACAACCACCAGTTCAAATTCCTGTTTTAGGTGTGAGTTTTTTTTTTATTTCAGTTTTATTTCATGTTTTTTATTTCATATTTTATTTTAAAAAAGATTTTCAAACATTAAATCAATATTAAATAGTTTAAAACAAAAAGCCACTATTTTATTAAATAGTGGCTTTTTGTTTTAAAGTATTTTAAGGAAAATATTCTAATTTTCTGAATTTACTACAAGTTATAGAACACCTTTATTGGGGGTAGTAAACAACCAGGGTTGATATTTGACCGGGGTCAGGTTTGATAAAATATAGCCGGAGTCGGGTTTGTGACCAGGCTGCATAAACATTTATACATCCTAAAGTTTTTTTTTTTAATTAAAAATTCATGTTATGTTTTATATATACATATGCATATATAAACATCATTATGATTAACATGATCATCATGATCATCATTATCATCAACAGCATAAAAGCGGAAAGTTTAATGATGATGATGACAATTATGATGATCATCATTATCATCATTATAAGGTCTTAACCTTCCTCTTTTAAGCTGTTTCTCTAATATAAACAATCTAGAGCATTTTTATTCTTAACAAAAGCTTATTTATACAATATTTAAGGCACTTAAATATTGAAAAAATAAATTTTTTTTCAATATTTAAGTGCCTTAAATATTGTATAAATAAGCTTAAAATTTTCTTACTTCTACCACAATCGTTTTTTACTGAAGCTGCTACCACTCTACATATTGATACCTAAATTACTTTAACCTTTTCTAACAAACGTTGTTTGATACAATGTTTTTTCTAATCTGTCTAAGATTATGCCTCCTTTCCTTGTCTTGCTAGAGTCACACAACACATCCATCTGATCATCTTCTCTTTCTGCAAATACTACACCATATAAATACTAAAGTTTATATAACAATGAAAGGATATTGTATGCCAGCATCTAAACAAATAGCAAACAGATATGTTTATATCCATAATATGTGTGCAAAAAGTACATCTTGGAAGCTTTTATTGCTTCTGGAATAAAAGTTTGGAAGCTTTTATTACTTCTCTTCAGTTTTAAGTCAAGCCTCATTCTACTCCACATTTTTCAACATTAATCACTTTTTTTTATCTTTTTTATAAGAACATCTCTCTTAAGAACAAATGTTCTTTTTATTATTGCAACAAGCTAATTTATAAAAAAAGTCTTGTCTGATATAAATCTCTGTTATTCTCAGTTTACTAAATCTTGTATCTTATCTCAGATGTTTGGTTTTAGAGACTTTTGGTTAGTTTTAATCTCTAATTCATAGGTCTAATCTTTTTACTTTTCCCCAAATAAGGCAGAGCTATTTAAAAAGAAATCTTACTCTAGTTTGACTCTCGAATATAACGACCATACTCTTCCTGACAGTTAAACAGATTAACACATAGTTGAACATCGAAATTACTCTGTCTTCCAATACTAAAATTAATTTTCAATTAAACACTTCTACAGTTTGTGCTTCAGACAAGATTTCCATCATAGTCTTATAAAAGTGTTCTGAAGAACTCTCTTTAATTTTTGCTAAACTTTTAAGCATTCTTATATTGATAAATGATAACCCTCTTACTCTCAGACAAAGTCTAAAAGCCCATTGTAAATGTAATTAGGCCTGCTTTGTCTGCCAAGCTTGAGCCACTTTCACATTGTTTTAAGGTTGCATTTCTTTCTTTTTTCTACAAATACAACTATGGTTAATGCTCAAACGCATGTATGCCAGTATTTAATAAATAATAAATATAAGCATAAAATTATATATTAAGTATTATAAATTTTTTTCTAGCCCCGGCTATCAACCCCTGCTGATCATTACAATTTTGCCGGGGCTGGGGCTAGGTTTGCAAAAAGTCTCATTTTTAGCCAGGGCCCCGTTCACTTACTACTGGGGGTTTCAATCTTTGAATAAATAAATTTTTTTAGGAGGATTAACTTGCTTAGTGTACTTTAACTTGCTTAGTGTACTTTAACTTTTCCAACAATTCTAAAATTTAATTTAAAGTAAGAAAAAGTTGGAAAACAAGATTTGAATATATAAGAAACCCATTCAAAATATGTGCACCACCTATTTAAAAAGAGCAAGCAAAAAAAAGTTGGAAAATATAATATACAGCAAAATAATAAATTTTATTCTTTTAAGTTGTTTTTTTGTGACTTTTGAAACTGGAATTAAATTTTATGTTTCTGCAAGAATAATTTTTTTTATGTACAAATTTTTATGTAGTAGTGGTAGCAGCAGCAGCAGCAGCAGCAGAAGTAGTAGTAGTAGTAGTAGTAGTAGTAGTAGTAGTAGTAGTAGTAGTAGTAGTAGTAGTAGTAGTAGTAGTAGTAGTAGTAGTAGTAGTAGTAGTTGTTGTTGTTGTTGTATTCAAAAATATTCTGTATTTCCTTTTTAAAAAGCAGTAAAAACGTTAAAACTAAAACAAACAATTCTTTTAACCTTAGCTAGTTTCTAAGGTTGGGTTTGACAAAAATTTAAAATTAAATTGATTTTTTAAGTTTAAAAAAATTAAATTTTAATTTTTTTTTTTTTTTCAATGTATATTTTTTAAAAGTATATACAATGATTTAAATAGGGCTTGATGCAAAAAATAAAAACAATAGGTGCAACAAAACATACATCTACCAAAAGTTTGAGTTTGGATCAATGTTTCTTACCCTTACCTTAACCATTATCCTGGTAATTTGCAAGTTTTTTCTTACCCATTACCAGAGTAATTTCAGGTAATTTTGAATTTTATAAGTTTTTCAAAAGTTATTTCCGTAAATGAAAATTTTTGGCTGTGATCAATTTTGTGAAGACATTTAACTGTATAAAAAAGTTTTATAATATAAATTCACCTTTATTGAATTTGTTGAGGTTTCCAGCTTAGTCCGTAGCTCTTACATAAGTACTAATACAATGTAAACAAATTAAAATTGAGATTTTCAGCGTGTAAAAGATTTATAGTGAATTTAAAGTTTAAATTTAATTTATTTGTTATTAACATTATTGTCAAAGTTATACACATTTTTTTAATAAGTTGTTTATAAGAAACTAGTACTAAATGATAAGAATATATATAGATTGAATGAATGAAATGAACAGTTTTAATTTAATTTTAATTTAAATTGAATGAAATAAAAGAGTTGAATTTAATTTGAATGTTCAATTAAATGGAATTCCATTTAAAATTTTCTTTAGAAAAAGTTTTTGTTTAAAATTGATTGAATTAAAACATCACTAATAACTCATAATAAATAACCTAATAATAATATTATTATTATTATTATTATTATTATTATTATTAAAAATAATAACAATAATAGTAAACAATAAGAATAAATAATATAAAAAATAGTAAATAATAATAACAATAGTAAACAAAGGCATTAGATTTCATATGAAAAGCATATAAAATAATCAATATGCGGAAATACAAATTTAAATAATTTATATTGCAATATAACTCTAAATAAGGTCAAAAGGATTTTTAGTACCGGATCAGGGCTTAAAATAAGACACTTTCTAGTAATACTTCATTTACTTGGTTTCTTATAAAACAAAGAAAAAACCCACTGAATTTGCAGCTAAGAAGCTAAAAGATCAAGGGACATCAATAAGCCTTGCTCTCCTAAAAAAAACTTGAAGTCCGAATTCAAGGGAAAAGAAACCCTAATCTTGTACACTTAATACAGTATTTAAAATCTCCAGACACTTTGGAAGAACAAAATGATCTGTTTCGTCTAAAAATAAAAAAACGTAATATAATAACTTTGGCTACTTCATTTTTAAACAAACTATATCCACAGAAAGCAGGTGAAGAGCTACCAGTTGATTTTAAAATAACTAGTACACCTGATCAAACATTAAAAATTGATGAAAAAAATCTCTTTCAGATGAATTTGCTTCATTTATTCAACAAACAGAGTATGAAGCTATCACTGTAGATAAGATTGGATCTAAAATTTTGAAAAAAGAGATGAGTTTATTTAAAGCTACTCATGAAAGGTCTAAAATCTTGAAAAACTTTTTAGAGCTTTATTAACTATTAAACCAACATTAGTGGAGCCAGAACGAGAATGCAGAACGAGCTTTTTCAGCCATTGGATTTTTTGCCACAAAAAAAAGAAATAGATTGGGAGTTGATACCCTTGATGCATTGCTTTTAATGCTCAGTTAAACAAAAAACTTGAAAAAAATAAAAACGTAGTTTAAAGATAAAAGTTATAAAACTTCTTCATTTTAGCCTTTCAAAATCTTGCTTTTTTAATCGAAATCGACTAAATTTACACCCCATAGGTTATGTAATTGCTGACGTAACATCTAATTGATAAAATTAACCAGGTAATTACCGGGTATTACCCAGGTAAATTTAAAATTACTCATTACCTTGGTAAATGTTTTTGGCCGGGTAATGGAAACACTGGTTTGGATTTAGCTAAGATTTTGATGAATAAACCTTTAACTACTAGTGGTTGTATTATTTTGGCTGATGGACAAAAGTATTTATGATAATCGTTTAGCCATTTATTGAAATATATAAAAAATTAATTGGTAAGCAGTATTTAAATAAAAATAATTAAAGTCAAAAAGAAATTGGACAGCTTCATAACTTCCCTAATACTTACAACAATGTTGTCTTAGAATTCTAATCGCCTATAGTTTATCCTTAATAATAAATTATTTAGTTAATGTTGTTAGAGGTTTTTTTTGTATAAATATTGTGATCTATAATTTGGAATTTGTTTTCATGTTATATCTTACAATATTTTAATGTGCAGTTTGTTTTAATGTTGTAATAATTGATTAGGGTTCAGTATATCTTAACCAATACTTTTTATTCCATGGTTTCATTTTAGTTTTATATCATGATTTCATTTTATTAGTGATAGTGATTAGAAAGTTGTTTACATCATATTACTCTAATTGGATAATTTTTATTATGATGATTATTTTTTACTCTTTTTATGACTTTTATTGCTGTAATTATTAAACCATTAATATTTATTATTGTTATTATTTTATTGCTGTTATGATTATTTTTATGTATACAACCGTATTAAGGCATATTTTTAGAGTTGACTGTGCAACTATTATATACTTTTATGTGTGTTAATATTATAAATAATGTTATTATTTTTGTTATTATTGTTTTTATTTTGTAATAATTTTTTTAGTTTTTTTTTTTTGTTGTTGTTTTTTTTGTTGTTTTTTTATAAATTGGTTTTGTATATATTTTGGTTGATAAAGTAGATTTATTTAAACACAAGGTGTGCCATGTGTTTGAACAAATTTTAATTGTTAATTAAAACTTCCATTTTTTTAATTTTTTTCTTCTGATTGTTCAGTCTTCTCTGTTTGAAATTTAATGCCAGCCCACAAAAAAGCGCTGGCAGGATGGTCAGTTTTTTTTAAAAAAATTTTTCATAAAAGTTAAGCAATTGAACAAAATAGGTTTGTTGCAATTAAAAACAAAACTCTTTTATTTTTTTGGCAAGCGCTTTTTCATGCGCTAGCCAATGTTTTTGCGAGCGTGTAGGCGAGCCCAAAAAGACTTGAGCGCGAAAAGGCTGGCTAAACGGAAAAGACTGATTGTTTAGTTGATAAAAAGTGCAAAGGTCAAATATTTGATATTCACCAAACAGAGTGTTCACACAATAATACCTTGTGATTTTTAAATGTCTGTTTATGTTTTAGGTGATATCAAAAGAATATTGGCAAAAATAAAAACTTTACGTTCTGAAAATTCATGTTTTGATTCAAATGCTTCTCCTAAAGGAAAATTGAATTTGAAAAAGCTTTCCGTTTCTCAAAGTTCAAGCTCTTGTTCAGATGAAGATGAAATTAATTCTTTTTCTGCTGACTGCACTGATTATGTTAACCCTAGAAAAATGAGTCCACTTGAAGAAGATATGAAAAATGCAGTTGTTTCAGTATATTTCCGCACATTTGTTAGTTTTATATATATGTTAGCTGTTTTTTTGCTGGCTTCATTTACTTTAGCAGTAGTACACGACAGACTTCCAAATACTTCTGATTACCCCCCACTTCCTGATGTATTCTTGGAGGCTATTCCATTTATGCCTTGGGCTTTTTACTTATGTGAAGTTTGTGGTTCAATTATGTTATTTTTTTGGTGTATTATTATTATTTTTCACAAACATCGCTTAGTTGTGTTCAGACGATCTTGCGCACTTGCTGGCACAATATTTTTATTCCGTTGTTTTACAATGTATGTTACATCTCTTAGTGTACCTGGAAAACACCTAGACTGCTCACCAACAGTAAGTAACTTAATTTATTGTTCCTACAAAAATTTTAAATAAACAATAATAGTTCAGATTATTTATTTTATTTTAAATTTTGTTGCAATTCATCCATTCTAATAAATTATCTTAAAGCAAATATTTTTATAAAAGTTGTAGGTATTTATTTAGAGAATTTTTAATTTTTAGTTTCAGAGTACAAGATGATAGTCATGTTTTAAGTAGAAAAGTTATTATACACTTTATTCTTATTTAGAGTATTAAATTTTTATATTTAATCAAAACTTAGATATATAAAATCTTATAACAGATTCAGTTATATAATGTTAATTTTATATCACAATCATAGAAAATTAGATTTTTAGTTGGTTTACTATTTTCCATCACCTATACAAAACTGAAAACCGCCAGGTTATTTTGTATGAAAATTGTTCATACAAAATAACCTGGTCAGATGAATATAATATGAACATCTGTTTTACAGAAATAATATTCAAAACATAATAGTTGTGAGGGTCTCGTGAAAGAACTTATGAATTTTGAGAGTCTTATGAAAGAACTATTTTTGTTGCAGTAAATTTGTTGTTTTTTCAGCAAAAATTTTTGCGATCTGGTAAATTTCAGTCAACTCCCGATATCTCAAACCTCAAGGGACCGAGAATATAGTTCAAGTTAGCAAATGTTCGAGTTATCAGGACATTCTATAACATGATCTTTTTCTGATAAGTAAAAACAATTGAAATCATCAAAAATTTTGATATCAAAGGTAAAAACAGTACATTATAAATTTAAAAATGTTGTCACTGTCTTAGTTTTGAAAAAACTTCTCTATCGAATATAATTAAGACTCCATTGAGCTTTTGTTAAAACACTTCACCACTAAAACTGAAGGGGAATTTATTCATAAAAAAAAATTGCTTCCCGAATATTAGTAATCTTCGAGTAAACTGAATCGATAACATTATCATTATCTTCATCATCAGCATCGTGTTCAATCGCTGCATTTTTTTACTTCTTCTATTAACTATTCATCTGTTAGTAAAGGTACTGTACTCATTAGATTTTTATCTGTAAAAATGACATTAAAATCAGATAGAAAACTATCAAGTTTGTTGTCTTCATCCAAATAGGCAGATTTCTGCTGATCTTCCGAAATTCCTGATTTTGCATAACAATTAACGATGGTGGAGGTTTTCAATTTTGTCATGTAATATTAAGCATTTTCATTGCATCAAAAATCGAAAAAGTAGGAAGATCTTTTTTTTTATCGATAGCTACGACCAGTTTTTAGCAGCGAGGTGATTTTGATTTAACTTTGTTGTTATTTTATCTTTTAAACCATACAGAACCCAGTTTTATAAGGTTTTTAAATCAAATCTCAACAGTGGTGAGAAATCCTGTTTGAAAAAAGGCCAAGCGTAATAAGTAAAAACACGATTATTTTTAAACGGGATTAATTTTAAAATATATTATAATTGTATTTAGAAATATGGTACTTTTTATAATCGTTTAATACGAGCACTTGAGATATTCACTGGTTGTGGAATGGCTTTGCAAGGTGTAAGAACATGCGGTGATTATATGTTTAGTGGTCACACTGCAACTCTCACTCTATTAAATTTCTTTGTTAATGAATGTAAGTTATTTCACAATTCTTGAATTAACTGGGGATTTTTTTTTTTTCGTATTCCAAGATTTTATAAAAGTGCATTGTTGTTGCTACGTAGTTTTGTTTGTATTGTTTATTTTATTTAGATACGCCACGCCGTTGGTATTATCTGCACACATTTTGTTGGCTACTAAATATTTTTGGTATTTTTTTTATTCTCGCTGCCCATGAACATTATTCTATTGACGTACTAATATCTTTTTATATCACATCTCGGCTGTTTATGTATTACCATACATTAGCTAGTGCTGTCCAAATAAGTCCCAGTGATGATAGGAGGCGAAGGTTTTGGTTCCCTCTATTTTGGTTTTTTGAGTATGGAGGTCCCTTAGTCATCAAAAATGAATTTGAATGGCCTTTTTCTTTTGATATATTTATTAACTTATTTACAAATATGCAAAAAAGTAAAAAGAAAAAAAACTGAGTTTTTGAGAATATTTTTAAAGAATATTTAACTTTTAGTTGTAAATTTTCTCATAGTTTCGTTTGATTATGTTCTTTTAACAATAATAATAGTCAATGAGTGAATGGAGTGAATGATGAAATAATAAATAACAAAAAAATATTAATTTTTCTGTTTTTAAACGTTTTAGTATACATTTTTGTTTATATATAGATTTATATTAAGATATTTGTATAACTATAGATATTTTAACATTTCGTGAAATTCAAAACTTTCGTGTTCTTGCTCATAAAAACTCGCAAGAAAAAATGTTCGAGGAGAAGTGTTTGTAACAGTTGGTGTCTGCAAATGCACTTTATATGGTTTCATGAATTTAGCGAGCTTAATTTTGATTAATAATTAAACTTATTGATGTTATTTATGATCATTACATTATACTTAATTTACCGTAATAACGCCACTAATGGAGTTTTTAACTAAATTTCTTATAAAAATCATGAAAATAGTTTTAAACAACAATAAAGCAATTTAGAAAATTTAAGGCTGCCAAACAATGTTATATAATATTGGTTTAGATTTTACACATTGGACAAGTGTACAATGTAAACTCTTACCAAGCGAAGATATGGTATATCTTATTGGCAATTTAACTGCTTAATAGGTTAACTGAACGATGATGATAAAATGACATTAGCTTATATTGCTAGGTACATGATTAATGATGAAAACCCAAATGATACCTTTTATTTTTATGAAAGGTTTAGCAATGTTAAAAGAATATAAATCGAGGTTTAACTATTCTAGATGATAAAATTTCTCAGCGAGTAACTTACTGCTACGGTCTTTTTCATATATAATAACACTTGCCGTACGTCTAAAGATTATATCAGAATGGAGTAATTCCGTGTCAAAACAAAATAACCCACTAGCCCTAAATTACTTAATTTTTAGAACGAATATAGTTAGCTACGTTAAAAAGAATTCCCCAAAGTTGTTTTTAACAAATCGGAATATTTTAGAAATTATGCTCGTTTGAAATTTATAACTTATTCTTACTGACATAAAACAGATTTTAACTGTTGTATTTTAAGCGCGTTTGAAATTTTACTGTTTAAAATTGGTTTTAATTTGCAGGCGTGACGAAAAAAGCCGTTTATATAAAACAACCTCGGTGAGGTTGTTTTTTTGTGTTTTATTATCTTGAACTGTGTATTTAAATGGCGAAAGAAAAAAATGTTGCTGAAGAAAAAGTTAAATCTAAAAAAAGAGGTAGACATTGGGATGACGAGGGAAAAAAATACTAATTAGTAAATGGTCTGAAGATAATGTTCAAGAAAAGTTAAAGTCGTGCATAAGGTTTTCTTTTTTGGTAATCTTGGGTCGAATTGAAATAAATATTTATTTCCTTGTTTATAAAATGATCAAGAACTAATAATCACTACAATACACACAATTAAATTAATTAAAATAATAATTATAAGCTTATTGTTTTAAAATAATAAGTTGATAATCTATAAGAATGGCATAATTTAAGAGAAGTATGATATATGCATTGACATATGTCAATGTGTATATATATATATATATATATATATATATATATATATATATATATATATATATATATATATATATATATATATTTATACTTATATTAAATGAATAAAAACAACTTTTGATGAAACTGGAAAGTTTCATGCCTTTCGACAATCATCAGCCATTGTGTATTTCGTCACTTTTAAAAAAACCGTTTAAAAATTACAAATAAGGATAGTAAAAATATTTTTGAACGCCGGTGACGCGAAATAAAATAACTCCCCGAAAAGTTAACTCCCGGTTAAAACGATTTAACTCCCCGGTTAACTTCTTTTGAAATAAATTAACCCCGGGAGTTAAATTATTTTAAAATATGGCGAAATGGATTAAGCGGGGACCTAAATATTTCTAACCCCCATCGTAATAAATTAACCCCTTTTAATTCGCGTTTCAAACATTTTAGCTTATAATAAGTTCTTCAAAATTGCGTAAGTAGTTCATTTTAATATATTTTTTTATTTATAGTCATAAGAATAATGTATATTTCTTATGACTATATTTTAATATATCTTTAGTTAGCGTTGAATAAAATTATTTTGTAACTGTTTATTTTTGCTAAGTTTTTATAGTGTTGTGAAAATAAAAAGGAGATCAAAATAATAATAATAATATTGCACGAGCTAGTTATTTATATTGTGTGTTTTGTTTTTGTTTTAAATTTCAAATTAAAGTCACGCCTCATACTTTCTATATAAATGGTAGCTAATCTACATTTTGATAAAAGGGTAGAATTGTCTCTGTAAGTAACAATAACTAAGTTGATTTAACATACACAAATAAGTAGTTATGTGATGAAATTTAACATTAATAATATTGTTGTTATATTAGTATTTCTTCTTTTGTTTTAGTTAATAAAAAGTTAAAAAGTAATAATTCAGTTACTGTCATTTATCCTTTGAGTCCACAACAATTTTATTACCTGTAGTTCATTATGTTACAAAGAACAAAAGGACAAAGCGTTGAATCATTTTGAATCACTTCCAAATACACCATCAAGTAACCAAAAATTTAAACATTGGTTTAAAACTTTTAAATATTTTTTAGATGTGTTATCTCAAGAAAACATTGACATGTCCTTTATCAGTGGTATAACTTATAATGAAATCTAACAACGGCTTCTAAAAAATAACATTAGAGGCATAACATTAGAGGTTATGTTTGACGAAGCTAGTGTAATATCTTTTAAAGCAAAATAACACTAACTCAACAGCTGCATCTATCTTAAAATCAAAATTAGCAACTACTACTAGTTGCATAAATCCAATTTTTCATAAGTCTAATTTTAATATCACAATCAATAAACATTCAATAAAAGCTCTTATTGAAAGTGGAAGCTTTGATAGCTTTATTTACCCTAAACTAATCAACCAACTCTCTCTCTCTCTCTCTCAAAGTATTATCAATTCACAGCTTAGTTCAAATGGCATCAACTTTGTTAACCCCTATTGTTGGAATTTTTTTATTTGATATAAAAATTTATGACTTAAACTATCGCAATGTAAGACTACATATTATGGACAATTTGTGTGCTGTTATTATTCTTAGTATTGATTTCCCGTCCAAGCACAAAAAAGTAATGCCTAATTTTGGTGGAGTGAGCGTACCTCTTGTATTTGGACTTTAAACACATCAGATAAACACATTAAACTACATTAAATGTAAAGCTTCTGAAAACCTGACATCTGACTGTAAGCTAATAGCTTCAAAATTTTGCCTCTACAGTGCTGTAGACAGAAAATTTTTTAGCTCTGAAATACAACACCTTTACATAGAAGGAATTATCAAACCTTTAACATCACCATGGAGATCACAAGTCATTATAACAAACAAGAGATTAAAAAAGTGCCTAGTCATAAACTATAGTCAAATTATTAATTGTTTTATATGTCTTGATGCCTCAAGTAGTTGAACTTGTAAACAAAATTTTGCAATATCGATACTTGAGCACCAAAATCAGCCTATCTCCAGATCCCAATTAAACAAGAATATCGTTTGTATATTGAAATCAGCCTATCACCAGATCCCAATTAAACAAGAATAACGCTTGTATACTGCATTTAAAGCTGACAGAGTTTTACATCAGTTCATGTGTATGCCTTTTAGTGTGACAAACGGAGTCTCAATTTAAAAAAACAGTGGACAATTTTATTGCTGATGAGATATTGAAAGACTTTTGCTTATCTTGATAATTTGACAATCTGTGGAAAGATGCAAAAGGATCACGACTACACCCTAAAAATGCTTCCTTTTAGCTAAAGCAAAGAGTTTAACTCACAATAACAAAAAATGTGAAAAAATCAAGACCACTACTAATGAAACTCCTCATGAAGGACTCTTTACGTATCAAAGATGTTATGCTAATGGAGATTCAATCCAATTATAGCTTACACAACCTGTCAAGGTGTTATTAAAGAGACATGTTAAAAATTCTAAGTATAAATTTGATGTAGATGAGGTATTCCTAATGGAAGCAAACCCACAGTATGTGCTTATTTAGCATGCCAACGGTTGTGAATCTATGGTTTCTATTCGTCACCTTGTACCACTAACTTAAGACTCACATACAGTTAACTTACAGTTAAATACGGTATCTAAACTCATCGGAACAATCTACTGCACACCTGTTACAAGAACCAAATAAGACTGCACACTAATTACAAAAACTAGATGAGACTGTATCATTATATCCACCAACATAATTTATACACCTTTAAACCAACTTAATCTTCAATGATACACCCGATCAGATACACTCTCTATTCCTAATCTCTATATAAGATCTCCAATTCTTTTCTTGTTTTTAGAGTTGCACCGCACATCTATCTGATTGTTGCCTTTTCAATTCTTTCTAAATAGTGGACATCATCTTTATTGCATATGTTTCACTGCTATGCATCATTATAATCTAGACTCACATAGCGTATATTTTTTCTTTATTCTTATGTATGTATGTATATATATATATATATATATATATATATATATATATATATATATATATATATATATATATATATATATATATATATATATATATAATTTTAAATGTGTTCTTAAAAGAACAGAGCAATAAATTAGTAGAAATTATAGATGATAGTATTCGATAGATAGTAGTATTCGATATACATATATATGTCGAATAGTAATATATCGGTAGAAATATTCAATATCCATATATATCAAATGTATAAATATTTAAAAATGCTTAAAATATATTAATCAACATATTTAAAAACAAACACATTTGGAAAACATCAAGTTAAAATACTTATTCCGAGTTAAAATATTATGGGGAGTTAATTTGTTTCGCCGACAGGGGTTTATTTATTTCAAGGGGAGTTAATCTATTTCGAAATAGATAAACTTCCCCGATAACTTTTTACGCGACGGGAGTTTATTTATTATGGGAGTTAATTTATTTGATGACCTCGGCACTAGAAAACTAACTTAATAAAAGATATTTCATATCTTTTATTAAGTTAGTTTTCTCCTTTATATGATAATATGTAAAATTTCTCGCGGAGACAAA